TCCTAACAAAAACGAACCAGAAGAACTTATCTTTAAATAAAAAATTAGTTCCAAATCCAACCTTAAACAAGATTTGACCTAACAAAAAGAATCTAAAAAGTTGTCACTTACGACCCCTAACAAAAAAAAAGAACTGATCTTTAAATAAGAATAAGTTCCATCTCCTACTTTAAACAAAACTTTGATTTTTAAAGATCAGTTATTTTAGTTCGTTTTAATAGATTATGCAATAAAAAATTTATGGGGATATAGGTCCGAAAACTATCCTTAACATTTTAGACATTGAAAATTATCTCTATAGAAATTATTAAACCAATCATAGCACGGCGTTCTCCATAGCACTCAGTTGTTTCCGTCTCCGTTTCTTCTGTTTCTGTTTCTTGCACCTGTTGGCTGTGTCTGTATCATTGTATCTATCTCCGCCTCAATCTCTTGATCTCTCGGGCGATTCCATGATTACTAACGGGACAAGCAAAAAAAACCAAAATGTGTTCCTATAAAAATTTTAAAAAACATTTTGTCTTGTTTTTGTTTGTCCCGTTAGTAATCCTGGAATCGCCTCTCGTTTCCGTTTCCGTTTCTGTTTTCCGTCCCTGTTTCCCGTGCCGTTTCTGTTTCCGAACGCTCGTTTCCACACTAAGGTGCTGTGGAGAACGCCGTGCTATGATTGGTTTAATAATTTCTATAGAGATAATTTTCTATAGGGAGTAAATCCCAAAATTTTAAGGATAGTTTTCGGACCTATATCCCCATAAACTTTTTATTGCATGGTCTATCAAAACGAACTAAATTAACTGATATTTAAAAAAGAATAAGTTTAATCTCCAACTTAAAGAATCTAATAACAATTTGACTTACGACCCCTAACAAAAACGAAGTAAAAGAACTAATCTTTAAATAAAGAACTTTAAACAAGATTTGACCTGACAAAAAGAATCTAAAATAGTTTTGACCTACGTTCCCTACAAAAACGATGTAAAGGAACTAATCTTTAAATAAAGAATAAGTTTCTTCTCCAACTTAAACAAGATTTAGCCTAAACAAATATTAGAAATATTCCCCAACACCAAAACAAAACACAAAGTGCTTAAAGTACTTTCCGCCAACGATGTTGACCTCTTCAGAAGCGAAGTTTAACTAAATCTAAATGCTAAATCTACCATATTTATACTAATTATAAGCTAAGGTTGACTTAACCGTTAACAAACATTGGATCGTAATCGCTTCAGTGAACACTTAAAGAGAAACTAACAAACTAATTTAAACAAATTAGACTAGGGTACCGGTCCGTTATCGCTATTCAAAGATGTATTTCTATTCTTATAGATGTATAAACCTTCATAACCATCTAGCAGACTTGTTCCTTATCTTCCTTAATAAGTTTAAGGTTGTCAAATTCTATTCTATGACCATCATCATTGATGATTCATCAAGTATATGTTGGGCAATACTCGATTTCTCTGTCCTACCAAATCGAGCATTGGCCAAGTGCTAGATTTTGTAGCACAGAGAAATGGAGTGGATGTTGAGCAACATTCGACTTCTCTGTCCTACCAAATCTAGCACTGGGCCAAGTGCTAGATTTGGTAGGACAGAGAAATCGATTGTTCCCCAACGTATACTTGATGATGGTCATAGAATAGGATTTGACAACCTTAAACTAACGCCTACTAGATAGTTATAAAAGTTTATACATCTATAAGAATAGAAATAAATGTTTAAATATCGATAACGGGCCGGTACCCAACTAGAGTTTGTTAGTTTCTCTTTACGTGTTCACTGAAGCGATTACGGTCCAGGTAGTAAACTATAATAATTAGTATAAATTTGGTAGATTTAGCATTTAGATTTAGTTACACTTCGCTTCTGGAGATGTCAACATTGTTGGCGAAAAGTTCTTAAAGCACTTTCTGTTTTGTTTCGGTAACATTTCACCAAGGAACAAGATTTGACCTGACAAAAAAAATCTATAAAAGTTTTGACTTACCCCTAACAAAAATAAAAGAAAAAGAACTGAACTTTAAAAAAGAATAAATTCCATCTCCAACTTAAAGAATCTAGTAAAAATTTGACCAAAACGAAGTAAAAGAACTAATCTTTAAATAAAGAATAAGTTCAATGACCCCTAACAAAAACGAACTAAAAGAACTTATCTTTAAACAAAGAATTAGTTCCATATCCAACTTAAACAAGATTTGCCCTAACAAAAAGAATCTAAAAAAGTTTTGATTTACGACCCCTAACAAAGACGAACTAAAAGAACTGATCTTTAAATAAAGAATTAGTTCCATATCCAACTTAAACAATATTTGACCCGACGAAAAGATATTTAAAGAAATTTCGATAATAAAAAGTTTTAGTCAAAGAAATTAAAAATAATAAATTGGTAGGTACTTCCCAAATTCCTTGATGAGTTCTGGTTAAATCGTATTATCCTTATTTCAATTTGTAGATGTAGATGAGAGTATTAAATAAGCATGTTTGTCGTATCAAAGCCAAATTACAACTGAATTGTTGATTACGTTGCAGAGATTATAAATATTTTTATTAGCAAAAACAACCAAAAAAAGGGTGAGTCAGACTTGCGCGATAAACATATTACGTAAAGGGTGACAAATTTTAATTATAGGTATATTCGTTATTTATTATTTTACTAATACTCAAATAATCTAATTTTGATAATACAGGGCATCCCAAAAATTACGCACCATTTAGAGTTATTAGGGTTTAAACATTTAATTTAATTTGTGTTATTTTCCAAAGACGTTTTAAAAATAAAAACTCCTTATTGCTTGATATTTTTGTTGAAAATGTTTAACACAAAAATTGTAGATATTAAACTAATAATTCTAAAAATCTTCTTTAATGAAAACAAAAGCTCAAATGAAAAAAACGTTATGTATACAAAGACCTGTGGCTCCTTAACTTATGGATTTACTTACCAGTCGAAACTTTGTGATTAAAAATAAGGCATAACAATAAAACAAAAAAGTTGGTATTATTTTCAGCATGATTTATTTATTTTTGTAATTTGTTGCTAATATTTTTCAAAAATTTTTTGATTAAAAGTTTTGTTTTTTAACATTTTTTCAATGATATCAAGAATAAAAAAATATTCTTCGCCAAAATGCTACATTGCCCATCCCTAAAATATTGAAGTACTGTTTAAAATTTCTAGAACCGTCTAAAAATATATTAAAACTCTCAGTACGTTCTAAAATGTCCTAAAGCGCTATAAAAATCATCCTAGTACAATTCTAAACTTATCTAAGTACTCATCAGTTCTGTCTAAAATGCCCTAAACCGTCAATACGTAGTCTGAAATACCTTAAAATTTTAACTTTAATCTTCAGTATTATCTAAAATGTCCTAAATTGGCCAAGTACTATCTGAAATGTCTAAAAAGTCCTAAATCGTCCCAGTACTATCTTAAATGTCTTAATACTCACAAATTGTCTAAAACTAGGTCCTTAATCGCCATAGTATTATCTTAATTGTCATATCTCTAAAAAATGCCCTATATTATCAATACTTTCTAAATCATCTAAGTATATGTTCTGAAACATGCAAAGTTTGTTAAACCTAACATAAATCGTTTTAATACAATTAAATATGTCTTAATTAAAACTCTTAATAATATCCCAGTATCTAAACACTATCTAAAATCTCTTAAAATTTTCTTAATCGTCCTAATACTATCTGAATTGTCTTAAACTAAAAAACATTTTTTTATAGTTATTTGTCAAATTAAAACAATATTCGATAACGAAAATACTTTTACTATAGTTATTTTATGTTACGTTAAAAATAAATATTTATTAATTTGAATACCGATCTTTTATTTCTGAATTAAGATTTTTATGTATAATAATCCTAACTATCTTCAACTTCAATCTAATCTGACTTATCCCATAAAATTTTCCAATTTTACTTTTTATGAAATAATGTCATAAAACTTATGGTTTAGAGGCCAAATTGTTTATTTAAAATTTTTAAATAAATATATTTTAATATGTCGCAAAAAATTTTAAGGGGACGACAAATACATTTCACTGTCATATTATGACAGTAAGGCGTATTTGTGGTCTCCTAAAGAATTTTACGAATGTAGAATACAACATATATATTAGAACGTGGGTATCTGACATATTTGGAAATATTCTCAAAGCTTCCTAGAAGCTCCATAAGAAACCTTCTAAGAACATTCCAAAAACGTATTCTTAAAATGTTCTTAGGATGCTTTATAGGAAGGTTTTAAGAAGCTTTTAAGAACCTAATTGCATTATTAAAAGGGTATCTATTGAATGTTTTAAAAGTCCCTAAGAACATTCTTGGCAATAAGGGAAGGTTCTAAGAATATTTCATTATTCCGGGTCATATCTTCTTAGAAGATTCTTAAAATCAAATTTTGCTATGAGGGGTAAGTGCTACGAACAACCATTTTACTCCTCATTTGTAAAAAATAAACCTTATTCTTTAGGGCTGTCATCAAACTGTTAAATGTCAATTTAAAGGTTAATTGTGAGTATGTTAAATTTGTGGGTTATGGTAAATTAACCTCAAAATTGAAATTTGACAGTATGATGACAGCCCTGATAGAATAAGGATTATTTTTTACAAACGAAGAGTAAAACGGTTGTCCTTAGCACTACGGCCTCATTTGAGGCTTACAAGTGCATCTGTAAGAAACACAACGTTTAATAATTTTTAATCTGTATAAACAGAACAAGAATTGTAAAAGACATAAAAATGGCCGCCGTTAAAGTATGTGCAGTGGGTTGCCTAACGTTGTCATTTTTAGTATGCGCGAAACGAGATAAAACTAAAATTATTTTAACAATTACTTAGTTTCCTTGGATAAACAAAATATTAATAAAATGTCAGAATATTAAAAGTATGGCATATCATCCCTAAGGTAAAATAAAGAGAAATTTTACATAGGTAAGTACATTTTTACTCCACGATTTTTTGTAGTGAATCACAATAGCAAAACGTTCCTGATGGCAAATTTTGATAAAGAAATTGTAGGAATACAAAACATAGGTAAAAAAATATTTTTCATAAATAGGCGATAAGTCTTTTCTTTTATCCGCAATTTTTTGTAGCAGAGATGAAATCCAAGCTATTGCTTATAGCAAGGGGATTAGACAGAGACGGAACGTTTCTAAAGAGCGAATACAGCGACCTTGACGTTTTAGAGGATCCGGAAACGAAAATTATTGCTTCGTTTTTACCAGACGAGATTATCTATAATGTTGATGATTACTCTCACAGGTCTTTCGATTGTGCTATACTTGCTGGTGATGTATCAGGTAAGTATTAATGCATTAATGACCACAAGCTAAAAGCTAAAAGAAAATGACAATAACATACTCGTGAGTTCATGGCAGCATACTATAACAGTATAAAACTAAATCAATAGATTGAGAATATTCCTAATATTCTGTAGTATTCAGAGAATATTTGTGTCTATAAGTTACATTCATGGATGATTCATTTCAGTTTATCACAGGCACATGAATAATGCATTATCTGCTTATATTATTCATTTTGGTATATGTTTTTTGGTATATTCTTACAATATTCTACTAATACTCAATTGTTCCATTTTTATTTACTCTAATTAGTCCAACTGAATTGGTGTTTTCCTTGCTAATGTCCCGTGGAAATCCAAAATTAAGTCCTGAAGACATCCCAACATATTTACTCATATTTGTCCCCTGGATCTCTTGAGGATTGTCCCAATTACATCTCAAACTGTTCCAAAAGTTGCTCCTTAGGACGTCCCATAAATTTTTAAGGATTATACGGTACGTCCCGGGGATTACTCAGATTTATGTTGCTTGGGTGTCCAAGGGACCTCTTTGTTTGCTGGGCTAAATATTCTATAAATATTCCTGGAATATTCTTGAAACATTTACAAAGGAATATTCATAGAATATCTGACGAATTACCATTGGACTTTTCTAAGAATATTCCAAAATTCATGTATATATCCTGATAATCTTGAAAGCATATTCCAATGCTCAAAAAGAATATTCTGGGGATATTCTAGGAATATCTAATGTTCTTTGGGTATATAAAAACGTTTTCTGTATTCTACCATTTCAATATGTGGTGGTTGTGGGCGTATGCGTTTGGACGACTTAAATAATGACAAGCTTAATTAATAAAAAATTAAATTAATAGAAAAACTTATACTTCCAAACTGATTACATTTTTGGGTTTAGGTTTCACCGATTTAACAGAAAAATACAGCAAAATGGATGGAGGTGCTTCCAAAGTAACTGAAGTTCTCAACAGCTACATTGGAAATATGGTGCAAGAAATAATGTCACATGGGGGGGACATTTTAAATTTTTCGGGGGATGCTTTTATTGCAATTTATAAGAAAAGTGAAAATTTTACCAAGAGAGATGCAGTTCGCGAAGCCATAGACTGTGGACTTATCATACAGAAAAGATATGGAAATTATCCTACTGATATTGGAATTAATATAAAAGGTTTAGATATCTCGAGAATTTTTAATATCAGCATTGGTAGAAGATATTTTTTATTGTTATTTAAGAACTTCTATTCTCTTTAGTTAAACTTTTGATATCAGCCGGTATCTTGCATTTTTCCATCCTCGGTGACAAGAAAAACGCCCAGTATCTCTCCATAGGACAGCCCATATGGGACCTAAAAGAAGGAGATGGAAAATGTGGTCCTGGGGATGTTGTTGTGTGTCAAAGTGCTTGGCGAATAATTAATTCCAATGATTATAATTACACTGAGTTTGATGACAACATGTATATACAAGTAAATAAAAATAAAAGCTCTTTAAGAAATGTTCACATGTGATTATATTTAGGTACATGGTATTGGTCAGAACTGGAGGATGGTGCAAAGAAGCCGGTGTAAAATAATTATACTTTATTACATATAAAAAATTAGTTTAATATTTTAGATTCAGTATTTACCAAAGAAGAAAGTTTTGAAAAATTTTCAGGTAAGATTAGAAGAGCTGGAAGATAGTTAAACAGATAGTTAAACAATATTTATTTAGTTCGTCCTGCTGTAAATCATGCTGCAATAAACAATAGAAAAGACAAGCTGAGAAAATTTATAATTCGTCCGATCTTGAACGCTTTAGACTCTGATCATCCGCTGGATTACCTAACTGAAGTTAGACAGATTACCGTTCTTTTTATGAACATTGTGATATCAAAAAAAATAAGTCCTTATTTGTATATGAACACTGCCAATAATGTTTATAAAATAGTTAGTGGGTGAGACATAGGTTGCTATTTATATTTTAATAATAACATATACAGGGCTTTCCTTTAAAAACTAGCCACCCTCAATAACTTTTAAGTTAAAGTAAATATGATTTTGAGCAAAAACAGGTCGATTTAGATATCAAGGGGAAAGTACAAATCCAGTGTTAAACAAATTCTGGTGACATTAAATTGGGGGGCAGAAATTTATATCCATGCAAAAATTGGATAATAAACTTACCGATGTATGTAAGATGTGAGACCCATAAACCCATATTTAAACACTGAACGAAAAAGGTACGTGATATTAATAAAAAAGTACATCAAATCAATGAACGACAACATTAATTTTCAGCCGATGACGGGTGTTATTAATACAATGAACAGTCGTTCGTAAATTTTCTTATTCATCAAGTTACGATTTCTGTACGTTAAATCAATGAATGAGGAGCATGGATCTATGTTTGACTGTAGTTAATACGATAAACAGATTTACATCAGTTTATAAATGCTGTACGTTAAATTAATAATCTATGAGCATGCATGCTCCATGGATCTATGAACAGCGGTTGTTAATATAACGACCGTTGGACATAGGTTTATGATTAATACGTTAAATCAATAAACAACGTACATAGATATATGAAAGCATGTTATTATTATTATAAACGGTAGACATTAGTTTATGATTATTTTACATTGAATCAATAAACAGTTACCATAGATCTATGATCCCCTATAGGGGATTAATACTATATATAGTATTAATACTACGAACAAACAGGCATTAGTTTATGATTTACTTAAATTTACATAAAATCCAATTAAAATTATTTGCCAAATTTACTTACCTTTTTATTTAAAATAAAGGTTTACTGGGTAGGTGGGTGCATTTTTTTAGCAACATAGAAATAGGAAAAAAATCTTATACAAATTACCCAGCAATCAATCACAAAAGGGGTTTCTTTAAAATAAAGACGTTTTTGGTGAATACATTTTTTTATTGCAAGAGAAATTTACAAATAATATGAACCTTTGGGCTCTAAAGAGGTTTACAATATGCTTTATCTAAAAAGTTCCAAAACATGCTTTCCTGTTAAAAGTCAAGATTAAATATATAAATAATATTAAAATATACATATATCGACCGCCTTAATTACATGAAATCCTAAATTTTTTTATTTAAAATATTAAAAGTGTATATTTTAAAAACTAAAAACTCATTCACTTAAAACTTAAAAATAAAAAAAAATCCAAAAAAGTCAAAACTGTTTAAAATAACTTCACAAGCTCACACACCTCGGTTTCGTATAGTAGGTACAAAACTTAAAAAATAATCCAAAAAGGACAAAAGCTTTAGGGTTAAACGCGGAACTATCCTTTTGACGCTATAAGACTGACAAGATAAAAATTGCATGTAAAAATTCCCCACCCAAAAGTCGTGCGATGTCCTTCGTTCTACGACAGCGATTCGGTATAATAATGTTTATGTTGATTGAATCAGCGTACGGTAGCATTAATTTTGGCGCGTTTTAAGAAGTTAATGGTTAAGTTCGTAAAATCAATGTTTAGTGACCGTTGCGTTGGGACAATGAAGACAGTTTATTATTATTTATGTTTTGCTGTTCATGGATCTATGACGAAAAATTTATTGTTTTAAAGATAAAGAACATCGTTTAAAGATCGTCAATAGTTAATTCAATAAATTTTTACATTAATTAATGAAGGAAATAAATAATTTTTGATGTTTTGCATTTATCGTTTAATGTTGACTAGTTTATTGTTTCAATGTACAGTTATTAATCTATGATAAAAAAGCATTGTAATAATCCCCAATACATAATATTAATGTTCAAAAAATTGACGACAGCAGTTTATTAATTTTACGTACAGTTTTTCTTTCTGTAAATTAACACAACTATATACTACGGTATTTATCTCGATTTTAAAAATAACAGAAAACAATAACACCACGACACGACGACCGAGATTTTTGACTAACTGACCTTCCTCAGAACAAAGTAAACCGAATTAATCGGGTACTTCCCCCTCGATATCTAAATCGATCTGTTTTGGCTTAATATCATATTTACTATAACTAAACAGTTATTATTATTATGTATATTAAATTAATAATACATTTAATAAACAACTAAAAAATATTTTTTTGTTATAAACACTTTATTTTAAAGGTATTTAAAGGAATATGAAGGCGATATGAACAAAATTAACGTTTTTGACAAAGACCTCCTTATTTTGACCATTTTTGGATTTCGCGGATATCTTGTTGGTTCAGAAGCAGATCGGGCTTTACTTTGCGCATGCAAATGCTTTAAAGGGATTTCTCCGATAGCATATATCGAATCTGTTTCTTTAGGAATTTGTTCAGGTAATCAAGAACAATTTTAAACAGTGGATTCTAAATGTTTTTAAGGTAATACCTATTGTGGCGTGTTTGGGCATGCTTTAAGAAAAGAGTACACAGTAATAGGCAAAATTGTGAACAAAGCAGCCAGAATTATGATGGCATATAACAACTCGATTTCATGTGAAAGGGGTACTTTTCTTTTGAGTAAGCTTAAACCAGCGTATTTTACTTTGAGGGAGTATAAACCTCTAAAAGGCATTGCCAGTCCTGGACCGATATATGCCTTCAAAATAGTCAAAACGTAAAAGTTCTCCAAAATTACAATACAATAAAGTTTTTCATCATTTGTATTATAGTAGAGACGAAGAATATATCAACCTTAAAGATCCATCACATCCAATTTTGGGACGAGAAAAGGAAACAGCACTTTACTTACATTTACTGGATGTAGCAAAGCAAGAATTTCGAAGTGAAAATGTAATAACAAACGTTTTAATAACTCAAGGACCCCCATTAATTGGCCAAAAGAGACTTACACAAGAATTTATTTATGTAACTCCAAAAGATATACCAATTAATAAAATAAGGCTTTCAAATTTGAATGTGGTAAGAAACTAAGTTAACAGAGAAAGACATCAAAAGGAAATAACGTCATTGTTTTTTTAGGATTTGTATGAGCCAATAAGAAAAATATTTCTTCCTGCTATGGGTTTGACGGATGTATCTTCAAAGCATAAAATAGAGGAGGAAATACGGACCCGTTTAAATTCTTCGGAAAATGAAAAAAAGCTTTGGATACTAAACCCAGTTTTTAATGTTAATTTTATGAGGTACCATATGGAGTTAAAATTTACGGAAAGAGTGCAGGCACTAAGAGAAATATTAATGAAACTAGCTTATAGCGTAAGAAGATATTTTTAACTACGTTGTAAGATCTAAAATCAATATTTTAGACTTTCGCAACATTGTGGGTGGTGATGATAAGAAAAATAAACTATATCCGCGAAGATATATGGAAGTTGATTAATGAATTATCAAAGAAGAATCTTATTTTCATAACATGCGAGAAAACCGTAAACGAAACTAAAAATCTTCAATATACTTACGAAGAAAATGTGCAAGTTTTAACTTTGCCACCACTTGACAAGGTTTTATTGTGTTTTTTTATTTGTCAGTATCTCAATGTGAGAGGAATTTCAGTGGAATTGAAAAGGTAGATTATATCTTAAAATGTAATTGAAATTGAAAGTTGGTACTTTAAGGTACATCCAGAAAAAATGCGTAGGAAATCCAGGTTATATGGAAAAATTTCTATCGTCAATGATTCACTCAGGAGAGATAAATATTACAAGTTTAACTCTGAAAAACGCATATAGCATTGGGATGGTATTGCCCCCGTCATATATTTTTGATAGGTATTATAACCAACTTAAGTAATAGTATATTTGTATGTACTTTTTTTTTAGAAACATAAAAAGCAAGGATATAGAATGGAACATGTACGATGAATGCTACAAAGTAATAGTTACTCTACACAGTAAAAAATTTTGAGTAAAATTTTACTCAAAATTAAATCAAAATGTATTTAATCTAGGTCCACACCAAATTGATTAATTTTTTTAACTCAGTGTGTTTTAGTAAACTATTTCCTTTTTGAGTGAATATGTTTATCAAATTACTTACTAAAGTCCTACAAATTTTGAGTAAATTCTAGTCATATTTGAGTAAAATTGTAATACATTTTGATTTAAATCCTAATTAAATATACTAAAGTCTTAATCATTTTTAGTAAATTTTAATCAACTTTTGAGTGAATTCTAGTCAAATTTGAGTAAAATTTTAATATATTTTGATTTAAAACCTAATGAAATATAAATAAATGTTTAGTTAAATTTACTCAAAATGGTGTTCTTTCAACTTTAAAAAGTGTTACAATTACTCAGCAATTAATTAAATTAAAGTGGTTATAGGGGTTATAGCCAGGTTAAATAAAAAAAAAATTAGAGAAAATAAATTTTATTTGAAATTCCATGGAACAAATGAACAAAACAATGTATAAACTATATTTATAAATAATAAAAAAACGGAGTGGTTAATCTTAACTAGGGGATAAAAAACTGGCCCTAGACTAAAAAATGAACAAAACATTATGTGCACATTATAAAAAAAACATATTTTGGTATGACAAAGTATTCATATACTCAGCAATTAAAAAGGGTTTGTCGGAAAATCCAAATTTTGTTATATCGTTAAAAGGAACGTTTGTCTGAAAAAAAAATTGGTTATTATATGATATTACCAAAAAAAGTAGTATATACTATAAAATAACGCATAAATGGCTTTAAAACAATGTAAAAGTACCACTTTTTTAAAGTAAGTTTTACATTTATTATTGTTAAATATACAAATTATGTTGTAAATAATATATTTAATTAAAGTTTAAAAAAATAACCTTAAAATTTTGCAAATAAAAGAATATTTAAATATATATTAACAAAAGATATGTATATACATTTATTAAAGTTAAAAATGCCATTTCAGCAAGAATTTTAAGTCAAGTTAACAACAAAAAAATTGGCATTATTGATAGTGTAATGTTATTGCCAATTTGGCATTCTATTTTTTTATGTTTACATATATGTAGGCAAAATAGTGTTATTATTGTATTGATACAATAATGAAAAACTTCTAAGGACTGCGTTAAGACTAATAATATTAATATTATATTATGTTAGAAGATAAAAATTAAATACAAAATTGCAACTTTTTAATCAAATTTCAATCAAAGTATAGAGTAATTTTTACTCGATATTGGGTAAATGAAGACGCCGGTTATTGTAGAAAAATTTTAGGATTTAACATTCATTATTATTTTTATAAATAAAGCCATCATAATAAGGATTACACCTACCTACTCAAATTCCCAAAATTAAATAGTATCTAGGTATGTACGCTGGGGCTGGGGTACTTACCAAATATCAACAAATTATCGTAAGATGAGATGTCCGCCTTTGCCCACTTTTTGTGGTTTTTCAATTCAAGCACAAACACAAAAATTATTTTAGTTATAGTTACCTATATGTTTCTGATAAATTACCACAACGAATTACACAGTTATTGCCAGTTTAACCTGTTAAACACCATGCATGCAGTGCAGCCAACATAAGCGCGCGAAATACAGTGCCCTGGGTATGCGCATGTGTGTAACGCTATTTTACTCGAGTTTTACTTCATGTAGAGTAAATAATTATTGCATACTCAAAAATGATTTAGGTTAAATGCAAAATGAGTAAATCAATTAATTTTAATTCACTATTTAGTTAATTTTTAAAAATTACCAAATATTGAGCATAATTTCGAAAAAACTTACTCAAAAAAATAACTCTAATTTGTTTACTCAATTTCTTTCGCACTTTACTCTTTACGATTTTTTACTGTGTAGTGTAACAAAATATGAACTTTTTGATTCCAGGAGGATGATGCAGATGACATATATGATGACACTGTAATCCAAGTGGGAAAAATGAACTTGGAAAATGTAATCCTAATGGATGACAAGGATATACTAAGTGAGGAACAGTTAAGTTTAAACGATACAATGATGAAAATCTACGATTCTTTTACGCCGTACGAGCAAGTTATAGTTAAAGCAAGCTCAGTGCTTCATTTACAGTTCCAAAGGCAAAAGTTGATGTATCTGATTAACACTAAGCCAGATAGAACCACTGCTTTAGGTACAATGTTTAGTTTTATTAGGGAACGTTGCGGGTTATTAAAATATATATATTTGTAGCTATAAAATCCTTATTTGAAAAACGAGTGTTAACGTGCGCTCACGGAGATTTCGTAGATGAAGAAAACAGCATGAATTTCAAAGGACGTCTAAAATCACCAGGTCAAAATGATATTAAATGTGATTGCCGCGGCATAGTTTTGGATGGTACAACTTTATTACTAATAACTTTACCAATTAACAAGTAAGTTTTACCAGAATCGTCCCTTGATCTTCCAAAGTACTCCATCTGCGGCTACATGCAGTTCGTCATGACTAATTTCAAAGATATGTGCTATAATTTGCTTACCGATAAGCAATCGAAAGATTTTCATCATAGAGCCATAAGGTATTTGCAGCACGAGACGAAAAAGTGCAAGTCCTGTGGAAAAGGATATTTTGCTATTGGTCTGTCAAAGAACGTCAGATTCGGTAGCTCGGTAAGAGAGATTATAAACACAATGTTGGCATCTTCAGAAGCGAAGTCTAAGTCTAATCTAAATGATAAATCTACCATATTTATAATAATTATATGCTAAGGTTGACTTCTGAAGATGATCGTTTGCGAAAAGTACTTTAAGCACTTTGTGTTTTGTTTTGCTGTTAGGGAATATTTCTACTATTTGTTTAACATATCGCCAAAGTTGTCTTTTTTAAGTACCTACTATATTACAAAAAAAAAATTATATCGTTGTAGCGATGGAAAAAAATTGGAAAATACGACCAAGCTTTTATAAACCCAGGCAGTGTGGGCGATTCGAAAAATACTAATGTGGATGAAATTGAAATGATGTACAGAAAATCTTTGTATTCTCTACCGGAAAGTGTATCAAATTCAAGTAGGAGGAAGACTACGAGTTATTTCTCTACTGGCGACGTTTCATCACATATGGCCAAATCAGGTGAATTAATAAAAAAACCATAAAGAATTTTTTTAAAGCATTAAAAATATCATAGGACATATTTTTAATTCATTTTAATTTATATTTTTTTAAATTGGCAGATAAAATGCCAGTATTCCATAGTTACGCATTTTATCACAGCGACAATATTTTTTATAACCTTGTTTACACGTTACTAAGGATTTTGACACTTTTCTTGATTTGACCACGGTCTTAATAATAATAATAAACTTTATTGGAAATCCAAAAGGCTAACGACTTTCGTCTTCCTGCCCTCCACGGTCTTATATACAGGTCTTGCAACTTCGCCCAATTTCAATGGGGAAAGTGACCTCTCTAATGAGACACCCACCAGATGGCGCATCGAGTTGTGGGTGAACCATAGATGTTTAAAGGTCGTTTTTACCTTCTTTATCTTTGGGTTTTACAATCGTTAGATAAGCTCTCTGGTGGATAATTTTCTTAGATAGAAGGTTTCTATGAAAGTTATCCGCCAAATAAGCTAACTTAATCTAACGATTGTAAAACCGGCTCTAAGTCCTTAAAGTCTATGGGATAAAAGGTCAAATGAACTACCTACTTATGTACTGTGTTAAGAAATATAACCTACATTTTTATAAACAAGCTTGTGTATTTTGTTACAGGGAGTTTTTACTTATTAATTAGATTAAAATAGTTTAAAATAGCTGACAGTTTGGCTAGTTTATAAACTATCCATGTTTACACATTAGCCGTAACATATATATGATATACGTACACGGAGAGAAAAATTTTGCTAAAATAACTATCCAAAGTATTGTTAAATGACGTATCGTGAATTTAGTCAACTGTTTTATTAAACTGATTAAATTAGGTAGGTATTCCTTTATCGAATGTTGACAACATTAAAGTTTAAATTATAGACCGCGTGGAGATAAATAAGGTTTATTAAAGTCTTTTTATATTTTAAAGAACATTTTAATTTTGAAATCCTCAAATTCATTATATTTTCTCACTAAATATAACTCGTGGTATGATTATTAATCGATGATATTTACTCGTGAAATCTGCAGCTCGGTTTCAATTCGAAAATATCATCGATGATAATCATACCACTTGTTATATTATGGGTGAAAATATCACTCTAAGGTTAACAAATAAAATTAATTTTCGATGAACAAAGTTTTTTTAATGTATGGGCGCCACTATATATAGTATGTGTAGTATACTGCTGTAACAAGAATGTTTAAAGATGGCATTACATTTTAGTTTATTTTATGACTTTTTTGAATCTAGAATTATCTGAATCCCAATCTGGGTTTGTATTATTTCAAAGACGCCCTATTCATGTAAACATCCTGCGAACAAATAGTTTTTCCGATTTCGATTTCACCGATTGCAAATGCCTTTCGATATTGATGAGCATGTATTGCGAGATGCTTCGCCATTGCAAAGGGATCGGTATGTTAATAAGCGGAATTTGGATGGAGCTTTATTGAATTTTTACGTTTCAGAAAACGTAGAAAAGATATTTGAAGTTTCCATCGATTATTCTTATGTGTGTATGGAATCTAAAAATGATGTGGAGGCAGAAAATTCATTGAAGCTAGCTTTGGAATTATTGGAGGTAATTTTGTTTCAACAATTAACTGAATTCAAAATATATTATTAACCATGGTGTTTTAGAGTCCAATATTCTCGGAAAAATACCAAAACTGGATGATCGACTTAAAACGTGCAAAAGTTTACACTATTTTAGGACAGGGGAAAATGAATATTAAACGGGATTTACAAGGCGCATATAAGTGCTTTATAAAAGCTTTGGTATTATATGGTAAATTTTTATGATATACGAGGTGTGTTCAGAAAATATCGGGATATTTCGTTTTTTGAAACAAATATTTATTTATTCGTCTACATTAATGTTGTCGCCTTCAAAATAGTCCCCATTGGATATTATGCACATGTGCCAGCTCTTCTTCCAATACTCTACACACTCGATCTTTGGGATAGCCTTTAGTTCTTTCAGCGATGCGCTTTTAATGTCATCTATGCTTGCAAAACGACGGCCCTTTAAGGTTCTCTTTATTTTTGGGAATAGTGTAACGGGTGGTTTTTTGGGTTACTTAAATTTCTTATTACTTCAAAACAACAATTTCTTTGAATTTAGTGAAACTTAAGATTTTCCCCTATTACAATAGGAAAAAGTCAGACAGAGGCATGTCTGGCGAATATGGAGGGTGAGGCATCATTATTGTTTTTGGCCAAAAATGTTGTTCAAAATTTAACAATTTTAGAACAAATTTTGCTGTCACGCGTTTCATATCCAAAACATTCAAAAAAATTTCATGGGATGAGCCAATCGATATACCAACATCATCAGCGACTTCTCTGATGGTTTATAACCATTTCTTCCACTTTTTCCATGTTTTTATCGGTTGTTAATGTGCTTGTGCGTTCAGGGCGTTCGTCATCTTCAACGTCTTCACGGCCATCTTGGAAACTCTTATACCACTTGTAAACTCTTGTTTTACTTATAGCAGACTCACTATAAAATTTCACAGAATTTGTTTCATTTTTTAAGCAAAATTGGATACAAATTCTTTGATCCATTTCTTTTAACGAACGAAAAATCGCCGAGCTCATAAAACACGTCTAACCTTAGCGGCTGCCACAAACAAAGTAAACAATGAAAACAGCTAAAGTTTTTATCATACTTCGGGGGAATGTATACCAACATAATAAAGAAAATTTTATGACAACCGGACCCTCCGAACCCGCGAAATTTAACAATTCCCGTTATTTTCTGAACACACCTCGTACTTAATCAATTCTGGATCTAATTTATCATTTTCCCATTTTAATTTTGATGATTGCTTCCTTAAATTTCTCCATATAATAATAATAATAATTTGACCATACTTTTGGGATAACCTTTATTAATAATAATAATTTGCTATTTTTTAGGTTTTCCATTTCCAAGGAATTTATTAAAGATAAAAAGACAAATTAAATACGAGAGTTGTAAACACTGGTGTAGAATTTATATTAATTCTAAAATTGGGACGGTTAATACAGATGAAGAAAGTGAATTTTGCAATAATATTTCAGAATGTCTTCAAAATCTTTCTAAGCTATTTGTGGTTAGTACTGTATGTCTATGACTATGTCAAAAAAATTGTTGTTTTTCTTCAGAAAAGACAGATGTATCACCATGCAGAATTGGCTGCCATTTGGGCTTTAAACAAAGCTCTGGATGGTGGTGAAAACTTTCTCAATCTTTGCAATGCCTACGCGCAAATGCTCACAATAAACAATTGCGTTCGACGAAGAAACTACACAAATTATCATGAAAGAAGCGCCATCAAACTTACCAGGCTCAGAAGGAATTTTGATAAGCAGGAATTGGAAGCTATAGCTTGGCTAATGCTCTCGGTGTTCGTAGGAAGGTAATTCTAATTTTTAAATAACAATATTTTGTAACAGAAACTTTATTCTTTCCTTAAATGGTTACTATAAAGTAATAAACATTTAAATAAAACTTGGTTGACCCCAAGACGACTTTGCAACTTTTAAGTAAAAAAACTTTCAAGTAAATTTAATTTGTAGCAGTTACTTTCGGTTGCTAAAGATTACATTATAATTATTTTTACTTTGCAAGTTAAAATCCCGAAACTGGAACATATGTGTTAAAAACTACAATTGTTAAAAACTTAAAAGTTATTTTAGTATTTGGAACGTTTATGGTACTAAACAAAACTACCGTAAAGTAAATTAAGCGAAAACTACTTCAAAGGAAAATGCTTCTTATCGGCAATTTTTTACTGTACAGTACCACGTGGTAATGTAAATAATAAATTATTTTAATTGTTTGTAAATGGTTGTTTACTTTTAATAATTAGTAATTTTGTTGGTAATAGACGGTATTAGTAATTAAATAATAAATATTAAGATTTTTTTATTTATAAACATTATTAAATGAATAATTTGTTTATACTTAAATATTGATGAAGCGCATTTATTTTACAATAACTAAATTCATAAATTCAACAGTAAAATTTAAAGGGTTCATAATTAGACATTATATTGTTATTCTGGAAGATATAAACTACCAGTACATATTTAATAAACGACGACATTGAAAAGCCAAGTCCGTAGTGGTTCCATTTAAAAAAGGAGGAATAGTATATTCTAATATAAGTTTGACAAAGACAGTTAATATAGAAGTAAAAACAAATAAATAAAAGTAATTATAACGCTCTAGCAACGATATTGAAACGTTCTAGTAACGTAGCAGCTACGTTCCAAATAGTAGCAGGGTTTATAGCTAGTGACATATTTGTTACCTTTTCGGAACTCAATAATTGTTCCCCACTTTAGTCGTAACTTGGTAATGTAAGAGTAATATAAAGAGACGGGAGACTGCCGCAAAACACTTAAGTTTCTTCAATAGTTCCATATACGTAACAAATACTTAAATTGTTGCTTGGGACTACTAGCTTCGTATGGGTATGGGGTATATTCTGTTGACTCCACCCTTTTTAAATCCAATTCGAAATTTTGATAATATGGCGAAATAAATAATATCAATTTGAAAATTATTTTTTTAGATTTGTGGCTTCAAAATTAAATCTAAATTTACTGGAACTAGGTCGAGTAATATGGCAGATTGGCAAAACGACGCATTCTTTTAAAATTTTATTGCAAATTTTGCCTTTAATGATATTGTTTGCAATAATTTTTAAATTAATGCCTGAAACAGTGGATATACTAAATGATTTTTTTATTTATTCCAATGATGACGTCGATGGTTCTGGTAAGTATCAATAACATGTTTAAAAGGATTTTTTCTTGTCTCAGGTTTTCGTAAAACTTCACCAGACATTGCATTTATTTTTATTTCTAGGATTATTCGATTACTATTGTGCTTGTTTAATTTTGCAATTGGAGACGGGCTTTTCCATCGAGTCCTTTAAAAGTTGCGAGTCGTTTTTGCTGAGATCGACTTTTAATTTCAGCTTGAAAGACCCGAGCAGCCGAAAACGGTTAGCGGTTATATTATGGTTGTGGTAAATATCAAACTGTTGTTTATTGTCCCCACAAATAATTATTTTATGTGTTGTTAGGAACTTGCGTAAAAAATACTGGAATTCCGCCAAGAACTGGGAAAATGAGGCGTTTGATTTCGAGATTATAGAAAACGAACCCATCTTTAACAACTTGCTTTCCGGATCGTACCTACTAGAAGGCCTCATTCTCTTGTTAGTCCACAAAATGGACAAAAGGAATCTTACCCAAGTGAGAAAGCTTTGCAAAAAAGTCGATGATTTGATTAAACAGCTGAAAAGACAGCGCAAACGAGCTAAAATTATGTACGTCAGAGTCGAGCATCTTATCCTTTATTACAAGTTGGTTTTAAGCAATAATTACAAGATTTTGGATAAGGTCAAAAAGTTGAGGACTTTTGCTGAGGAAAATTTGATTTCGTGTGAAGCCGATAGGATTCATCACAATGAGTTGGTAGGTTTGTAGGAAGGGTTGGGACAGTTGAAAATTTCAAATGAAAATTTCAACTTTGAAAGTTTCAAACTTGAAATATTTCATTTAGTTGGAAAAGTGAAATCAGAAAATTTCAACATTGCCTGTGAATTAAATCAGACTTTAAATTTTTTTTTAAAAGTCATGATTAATTTAAACTTTTGCTATAATTGCATCGGAAAACGGATAAAAAATGCCTTTGGCTCATAAAATTTTGATGAAATTTCTTCAATTTTCGTAAAATTTCAGTAAAATATTTAAAAATAATAAATATCTATATATAAATATAAAACAATGAAAATGGCACAATCTCATTAGCTTACCAAAAAGTGCTATATCTCTTTTAGTTTTAGTAATTTTAAAAATATTTTAAAAGGAAATCTTAAGAAATTTGTGGTAAACATAGGTATTTACTATTTAAATTATTGGTGCAGGGGCCCACAGAGGGGTAGGAGGTAAGAGAGGCAATTTGCCATGGTCCCCGAGTGGGCTTATTTCAATATTAATATATTACACTTACAGTGATTGAAATTTATTGAAAGTTTCAATAAATTTCATAAATTTCATGAAATTTCAAAAATTTAGGAAATTTTAATAAATTCCATAAATGATATGAAAATTTCAAGTGAAATTTCAAGTACAAGCAAAAAGTGAAATTTTCCCAACCCTATTTGTAGGCAGAGCTATCGGTAATTGAATTAAAATAATTGAAAAATTGTAATTGAATTACTTTAATTACAGATTGATTAGCGTAATAATATTTAGTAAAAGTATCGTCATGGTGGTAATGATTTAAAAAACGTATATTTAAAAACTGTAACACCCGAAACGTTTCGGCTCAATTATGTTTAAGGAAAATTATAATAAAATTATAATAAAATAATTTCACATCACCCAAAGTTTAAACCTTATATTTTTTTATTTACTGCTACATTGACGAGCTGTGACTTTATGAGGCGTTTTAGTCACGGCAATATTAGCTTTTGGGCATTTTAGTCATGGGTTAAAGTTTATTATAAATTGGGGAAAAGTGAAGTTAAATCCGTTGACATTAGACAGATGTCAAATGTATAACAAATAAAATGGCTTTAAATTATTCTTTGTGTTCGTCGTAGATAAAGTATAGTATGCAACTCGTTTTATAAACTTCTATAGACCCTCGTTTTTATTAAACACTTGCTCGCAAGCTTCGCTCGTGCCTAATTAAACTAAATTAACTAAAATGGCATTTATAAAACTTGATATATATACAATTAGTAGTATTATACTATGTATACATAGTATAATACTACTAATTATCCCTTAAAATTTTAATTTTGTTTTTAGGCTTGGATGAACAAATTAAAACCTTTAATTGAAAGCGAATGGTCCGACAGTTGTGAAATAAACAAAATTCTTCACCCATCTGAGGCGGACCCAAAAAAAATTATATACTTTACGTTGCCTCTTCCAACATATTTATAAGGAAACTTTTATTTTTACGTGTTATTGTTAAATAAGTTTGTAATATGTTTAATAGAAATTTTATCTAGATTACTTATTTTGTACATTTTTAAATCATTATTTAGTCACGATAACAATCTTAAAAAAAATTTTGTAGAAATTCGATGGTAGTGTGAATTTTTTCTGATATTGATTTTAGTTTGTCGCACCTCTATAGATTGAGTATACTCAATCTGCTAAAGCAAGCGTGTGATTGGGAAGTTTAATTAATTTATAACTAATTAATAGTCAGTCAGATCCCGGCAAACATTTGATTGGGCTCAATCCTAGGTCAATTTTATTGGGTCAATTTAATTCAAAAAAGATTGAGTCATTTTTGCACAATCATTGCGAATGAATTATTTGATTGCGTTATATTTGGCCAAACTTTGTCCAATTTGAGTTGCTCAAACATTGGCGATTGTTGCGGACGCACGTACGGCTGTTTATTGCATAATATAATTGACGATGCGAATGAGCCAATACCACTCAATAATAGACCAAACAGTTTGTTTCAAACTTAAGTTTGGTTAGGATGTTATTTACGTGTTTTATTTATACTTTATTTATGTATATTCTTTTAAAAAAAGTTGTTTAATTAATTCAATTACATACTTGGTAGGTATAATGAAACAACAGAAACACTTTATAAAGATTATAAATTGTATAGAATTCAAATTTCGCGCGTCTGTCGCCATTCGCGGGCTTCCGGGCAAAGCCTCCATATTCTTCGATTTGGTTATATGGGTTGTGTTTAAACTTTAAAGCTGGACAAGAGAAGTGCATCAAGTAAGTACGGTAAGTAAGTACCTAATTCAGTTTTTTAAGTGTTTTTAATTATGTTTAATAAATAATGTTATTACAATAGTGTTATTATTTCAAATACTCAACCAATCATTGTTCTTAAAATTCCTTAAACCATAAAAAAATTAATTCCCTCGTTTTACACAATTTTGATTTTTTTTTTAAATTGAGTCATTTAGGTAAATGAATTGTCAAATAATTAGCTAAATGTTCCACATTCGAATATTTAAAAATTAAATATCTAATTGCCTTAAAATTGCACATTTATTGGTGGTTTTGGTTGCTCAACAGTGTTGCCAGATATAACATGATTATCAAATTGTAATATTTTTTTTCTTAAAAGGAAAAATAAAATAGTTATCTGTACCATAATCGATCACATATAGTAACATAATTTATTCTCCCAGAATAACGTAGGTATTACGGTACAGTTGTAATAATTTTCTGAAAAATCCAATAATTTTGTAACTTTTCTCATCTGGCAACACTGTTGCTCAACGAAATTGGGCAAAGTTTGATGGTAGTTGCGGACGCACGTACTTGCAATATTTGGCCAATCAAATTCAATCTGTTTAGTAAATCTTTGGCCAATTCTAACCCAAACATTGTTTGCCGGGATCATAAAACGCCAATCATGTCATCTTGGCTCTACCATACGCTCTAGAAATATTTTACACTTTTTTTAACACCCTGTATGTGTGTATATAACAAAATAATATAACATGATTTCTGTAGCTTATTTCATGCTCTTTCAGGTCATTCAATCAAATTAAAAATATTTTTTGTTTGATTAAAAAATGTGGTTGGGAGTTTAGTGTTATTACCTATTTGTCTACGCTAATCATAAAATCCGTTTTGAAGAAAATAATTTCATTTGAGCCTGTTTTTATTTTACCTATTTTACCTAAATTTTCATTTTTAAAAGAAATGGACCTAATTTTTACATTTTACCACCTAAACCAGTGTACTTTTACCTATTTCACCTAATTTCTTATTTTTGACCTTAAGAAGTAAATTATCAATAATAAATATTAATGTCAATTTGACAGTACCAGAGTATTTAATTAAGGTCTTCGCAGAAGTACCATTTTTTAAATACTAAAAATACTTAATCAAACTGGCTTAAGATACCAACTTAATAAAAAAAGACGAGTTCAAATATAAAAAAATGAACTGTAGTTTTCGAATTATTAAGCATTTACGTTTAAAAAACTCGGCAACGTTCTTTATCTAAGTCAATTTTGAAGTGTTTGGAAAATGTTTTTTTTCCTTTTGTATAATAAATATCAAATCATTAAAATAACAAAAAAGTATACATCCACCTAATATAGTGGTATCATGTATTTCGTTCTTAAACAAAGATACCAGTAAATAAAAAAACTTGCTAACTTTGTTATTTTGTTTTATTAAAGATTGTTTACATTTTGTTTCATAAATTAAAAAATTACCGTATTTTAACTTACATATTTACAAATTAGAATTATATTAAATCGTAAAAATAACAAAATTTGACTGTATAAGCAAATTAGAATTTTAAATTAAAGCCTGCTGTTAAATCGGAACCCCCGCCTAATCTGAACCCATAGTTGTCATCATCTCCTTTCTAAAATGCAAAAAAAACAATTAAATAATATTATACAATTTGACTTATGATCAACATCAATTTCCAGTTAAAAAATTAGTATATTAATTACACTGTAGTGTATACTATTTTTCTTACTACCTCGGCCGAAAATACAACCCGGCCGAAAATACGGGAAAAAATTAAATGTGTATTTATGTACCTATCTCCATTTGAAGAGCTTGATAAATAAATAACAGTAGGCCGTGAATTCAGCGGTGCCAATACAGTAAAAATAAAAGGTTGTATTTTAATTAACAAATTACTACTTTATAACAAATAAAAGTACCATTAAACACTTAAAACAACATAAAAAGTAAAAAAGTAAAAACATAAATTGTTTATTTGTTGTTATAATTGCAAAATTATGGTTTAAAACTGTCATATTTTTGTGTTTCTCATGTTGGCAGTACGAAATTTGAATGTTAAGCACACGACTAAAAAATTTTTACTCCCGCTATTAGAGTGTGCGCGTATAGCTTGACCAATGCAAGAAACGTAAACTTTCTGCCGTGAAATCGGGGACGAAACAACGTATTTTGAGTCGAGGTAGTAAGAAAAAGTATTTTGGTGATTTCTTACCAGTCTTTTGTATTCCCCGCCACCAGATGGCGGTTTCGGACTGGCGGCCATCGCTCTTTTCTGGCCCAGCTCGCTTTTGGCCGGCCACGTCGGGAACATTGACGGAGAAATGGGCAGCGGAACTTCTTCGAAATATTCGTGCGTCAAGGCCTGCTCTGCTGTTATTCTTTGCGTGGGATCGTACGTCAAAAATCTCAGCAGAAAACTCAAGCCCAACTCTGTTAGCGAATCGAATTTCTTCTTCAAATCGGCCGTGGGGTATTCGGGAAGTTTCATTTTTTTAACGCCTGGAAGTTCGTCGAAGCCATGCCATAGTTTTTCCGAGGGGGAGCCTAGGTCCTTTAATTCGAAAAATATCATTCAGAATTTATTTAATTTCAATGATACAACTATTACAAAGAACAATAAACCACAATACAAATTAAAGATAAAGAAGGAAATAAAACAGATGTTCTCAAAGAAGACTTCTTTACAACAAACACAATTTTTAATTTTTGAATAATAAAATGGTTTCAAAAATAATATTTAAAATCAAAAACTAATTAAATTAATTTGGAAATGTTCGCTTTACGGAAAACGATTTTAAATTGCGCCTTCTCTGCTTTTGAAATTAGCATAATTATTAATAAATTTTAAAAATCTAACTCGAAATTTGTCGATTTGGAATTTGAAATGTGAAGTCACCAGGTTACCTTTACAAGTTTCCTAGTTCTTGCATTGAATTCCACTTGCTTTCTACTTGATTCCAAACTAGATAAATCATGTATTCTTTTTGGGTTTATTAAATAAATTTTTTAAAAAAATCGTCAAAATTCAAGTTGGTACCTAGGTTTTACATTCAGGGGCCGCACAGTGGTCTAAGAGGTAAATTTACGCGGCAAAAACTCAATTTTTAAAACGATTTAAAAACGCATTTTGATGCCTCTTTATTGTTCTTGACAGATTACCTACCTATTAGGTAAGATTTTTCAATCAAATATTTTAATTAATTTTTTCTACTCTCACCTTTAAAACGCCCTTTAACGTACATGTTTCCATGACACTAAGTGACCTTTTAAATACACATTGACAAGTTGTGGCTTTATAGTGCTTTAGTCACGGGCTGAAGTTAGCAACAGGTTTTTAGTCACGGGCTGAAGTTAGTTTAAGTTAGTTGACAGTTGTCAAATGTCATACAATCGTTAAAATAAAGTGCCTTTCTTGTAAAATGTGACAATTATTTTATTATCTCAATACAAAAATACAAAAGTATTAAATAGTTTCTCAACGCCAATATTTGAAAAGTTTATATGAACATTGTACTGACCTTTTAATTTCGCCGGCAGTAAACTATAACTTAAATTCGGGCACGGACCCCGCTGTAAAGTCCTCATAAAACATTTTCTTTACTTTCACTGTGAAAAACTGTACATTTTCAAGAAATACATTTCGATTTATAACCTTTACAATCTGTGTTTATAAAATATAAAAATTTGACATTTGACGGTGACACACAGATTCCCCTATTGTTTCATAGATGGCGCTCTATACAAATTTTTGATTTAAATCATTTTAAGATAATAAGTATTTGTCGTAGAAAAAGTATAGTATGCACCTCGTTTATAAACTTTTCTATACACTCATTAATTTAATAAATTAAATTCGTGTATAAAATGGCGTTTACCAAACTTGATACATAATATACTATTAAACAATGACAGATTAAGTGGTAACCAAGGATACTGTCACATTAACCCACATGAAGAATTTCACAGGATTGTTGATACAAATTAGTATTGAAAATATTAGAAATTGTTAAATGTCTCTGAAATTTTAACTTTAGGAAACAGTTATTATAATAAAAATCGAAAGATTCTTTAATTTTCTTTTGATTATAACATACAGGGTTTTACATTTATAATAAAAACGTTATTATTGTTTGAAGTTTGCCTAATTTCAAGTGGTTTTTCTCAAGCTATTTGTTAAAAAAACTTTAAAAAAATTAAATTATTTAAACAATGTTTTAATATTCCAAAAATTCCAACCCCATGTCAGCAAACCGAACAACAAAAATTTCATTAAGCCTTTAGCAAAATTTTAACAAACAAAATTAATATCTTGAAAACTATTGACTTTAGGTATAGTCTAAATCAAATTGTATATGCTATTAAAATATCAAATCCATATCGTTTGCGTTTCTCCAGAAACGCCCTGTATAGCATTATATTAAATATAAAAAATGCAAAATAACTAATCTAAATAGCCGATCGCAACATAAAAAATAAAGTCTTTATTCTAATTTATTTATTGGGTAAATATTACTTTTCTTAGTTTGGAATTAAAATTGAAGCTTGCTTCTGGAGTAAAAAAATAAATTAAAGCTTGGTTTGGAGCAAAAAATAAAATTAAAGTAGGTTATAATTTCTAACTTGCTGACACTGTTATTATTTATTATTTAATTTATAATCTGAACTGTCAAATTATCTTTCATGCTTCCAATGGTAGGTTACCATAGAGAAAAATGAAAGAAATTATTTTTTTAATGCACCATTTAGATGTAGAAACAAGGTTAAAAAAATATATTCAATTCTGGAATCACTTGCAAACAAATGTCCAAAATGTGTTCGATTTTTTCGCGAATCCATAGTTAAGACGTTAAAGAATAATTTTTTCTTACTACCTCGGCTGAAAATACGTTGCTTCGTCCCCGATTCCACGGCAGAAAGTTTACGTTTGATGCATTGGTCAAGCTATACGTATTTTCGGCCGAGGTAGTAAGAAAATGTAATTTTCTTACTACCTCGGCTGAAAATACGTTGTTTCGTCCCCGATTCCACCTCCACCGCCCTCTATAATATCGCTCGTGCCGCAAATGTCGGGGCAGGCATCAATATGTTTCGATATACACATTTAATTTTTTCCCGTATTTTCGGCCGGGTAGCAAGAAAAATAGTATACACTATTAATAATATATATACTATTTCTGCGTAAATTTACCTCAGACCACTATGCGCCGCGGCGATTTATTTACCTTGAAAACTCTGTTGAGCTGATCGACTTCCGATTTGCCCGGAAACAGCGCGTTCATGAGCAAAAACTCGGCGAAGATGCAGCCGACGGACCACATGTCGATCGGCGTGGAGTACTCCTTGGCGCAAAGCAGCAATTCGGGCGCTCTGTACCACAGCGTGACCACGATGGGCGTGTACGCCTTCAGCGGCGAGCCGTACTCCCGGGCCAGCCCGAAATCGCCCACCTTGAGGACCCCTTTGTGCGACAAAAGCAGGTTCGACGTCTTCAGGTCCCTGTGCAGGATCCAGTTGTCGTGCAAGTGCGCCACTGCCAGCAGCAGCTGCCTCAGCAGGCACTTGACTTCGCTCGGCAGAAAGTTCTGGTTTTTGCCGCGCATCGTTTCCATCAACGATTTAAGATCGTGCTCGACGTAATCCATAACGATGAATATTTTGTCCATGTTGCTACCCACCTAGAGATGTAAAAAAACGGTTTTTTTTTCAGATGTAAAAAAAAATGAAAAAAAACGGTTTTTTTTTGTTTTTTTTCAAAATGAAATTTTGCGTAAAATGTATATTAATAATAAAGTAAAATGTAGAATACAGGGTGTTATGTAATTAATGTTATATATTAAAATGGGTTGTTCCTTAGGGTCCATAAAGAAGAACCTGAAACTTTTTTTTTCTAAATTCCAAAGTCTAAAAATAATTTATAATAACCTTTATCCTACCAAAAAGTACGCCACTGATCGACTAGGAACTTTAGGTTAATCTGGTGGATTTATTATGTTATGGTTGGTAACAGTGTTTTCAAAATCTCTCAAAAAAGTTGACAAACATTGTTTAAATTTAGCTTAATTACAAAAATGACAAAATTAACAATGCAAATTGTCAATTTGGCGTTTTTATTAATTGTTGGTTATTTCATTTTTGTACTGAAGGTAAATTCCACAGACCACCAAAACAAATGGACGGATTTGTTTACGTTTAAAAAGCGAGTAAAGCATAGTTTCACATTCTAAACACCGTCGAAAGAAACACGGCTTCCAACGTTGTCAGAAGTATAGATTACACGCCTTTTTGGACGTTCATCATAACATAATGAACATTAATAATTACCAGTAATTCGTTTGAATAATAAAAAAAAATGTAAAAAGAATTTGTTCATCATTTTCTTTAGATATTTTTCTCTATTTAAAGAAAGTAAATCATTTAATAATTATTAAAATTAAATATTAACAACGTTGGTAAATTCGTCATATTTGACAGCATAGAAAAAGGTTATGTTCTGTGGGTTGACAGCTTGTTGATTTGTGTTTTCGTTTGTGTATTTCTATCGTGTTTAAGTTAATTATGGAGTCTAAATACATTATTTTTTACTAAAAATAACAATACATGGAAATATCGTTTGTAAGTAGTACCTACCTACTTATTTTTTTTATCCCAATACGTCACTGGAAGAAAACATAAAATTCTATCGCCATTAACGCTTAGACTGTGACCGTTTGTTGACGTCACTGGAAGAAAACATAAAATTCTATCTCCAATTTGACGCTTAGACTGTGACCGTGTGTTGACCGCAAACAAAGCATTGTTATTGAATGGCAATGCGCCGTCCAAAATCTGACAACTTTTATGACAGAATCTAGTGCATTTCTTTTAAATTTTAGGTAATGTTTTCAAATTGTAAATATCTTAACTAAGGGAAGCTTTTGGATTTATTTACACAAATTAAATGTTTAAAGTTTAACCTGTGAACTGGTCCCAATTTCATCTGAGTAAACAGAGAAAAAAACTGATGAAAAAAATAATTTTGTGGTTATGGATTTCAAATTTCAAAGGTACTAAATTTTCTAATCATTGCTTAAGCTAATAGTAAATAAATACAGAAGGGTATTATCAGTAAATAAATACAGAAGGGTATTAGAGCTTTAAGGGCATAAAACTTTTGAATTTATTGAGTTTTTATTTATTTTTTGCAAGAAAAATTTTTAGTAACAATTTTTTACATCTGGCAACGCATAGCTACTTTGTTGGTTGGTATCTATGTACTCACAAAATACAGGTGTGCAGAGATAAACAAGTGTGTAACCAGTGGCGTATCACAAAAAATATAAAAAACTTCTAATGCATATTTTTTCTTTATCTTTGGAAAAATGTTTTTATTAATATTTTTCCTTTATTCCTTATGTCAAAAGGTATTCAGTATTTTAATATATAACATTAATTACATAACACCCTGTATATTACATTTTTCATTATTGAAAATTTTGACCAAGACTAAAAAATCTGATTTCTTATAATTTAGTAGTTTCCACATTAGAAACCAATAGAATGTAAAACTTCTACACTAATAAAAAAAATTAAAGGATAAATGCGATTCTTCGGATAGCTGTATCTTTGTTAAAAATGGTCGTATTGGAGCCGTAAAAAAAGCAATTTGAAGTTTCTATAGTTTTGAGATTTTTAGATGAAAAACGTGCAACGCTTAGTCCTAACGAATACCGTAATAAAAAAAAATGTTGGCTTTCTGGTCCACAGAATGTTCTGACTTAACCACCAATGAACAAATTTTCTACAAGAATTTGCTACTGTTTAAAAAAAAAATTGAAAAATGATGAAAAAAGTTCTTTTTAAAAAATCAAAAATATTATATGTAGTTACTTTTTTTAGGACCAAATCAAAAGAAGCGCGGCCCTTAGGGTCAATTTGGTGGTGGTGGCGCGTGCATAGCGCGAGACTGTATTTACATTTACTAATTGTCATTTAGTGACTAATTTTAGTCCATGAACTGGACTGGAAACATAAAAAATTAGGCAAATGGGACTAAAATTGAAAAAAAACCTAAAATGTGAAAAAAAACCATTTGAAAAAAAACAATGAAAAAAAAAAACGGACCGTTTTTTTTCAAGTCGCATCTCTATACCCACCACGATTTCCCTAACCGTCACTATGTTGGAATGCTGCCCTTTGAGTAGCGTGTTGATTTCTCTCAGCGAGGTAATCGGGAAACCCTCCTTCTCCTTCTCCATTTTCAACCTTTTTAGCGCCACTATTTCCTCGGTTCTTTTATCTTTGGCTCTGTACACGACTCCGTAGGTTCCCTCTTCAATTCTATTCAAACACTGGAACTCCTCGACGGATCTGCAGCCCTGTATGGCAGGAAAATACGGCGGCAAATTTTCGTCCATCGATGATTTGCTGTTTTGATCTTCATCCGCCAAATTTTCTTCGGTTTCCATTTTCATACTATCACAGCTGTTACTTCTGCTCCTACTTTTATCGAGGTATTGCTGTTCATCTAAATTTTCATCGTTATCGTTGTTTTCATCAAAGTTGATGATTTTCTCTTCTTCCGAATCGGACAGAGTCACGATTTCGATGGATTTTATTTCTTTAATTTGTTCTGATTTACTTTTACTTCTTCTATACCTACTTGGCATCTCTACAATAATTTATAGTTTTTCTAAGATTGAAAAATAATATTAATATTTGATAAACGTTTTAATTGAAATAGAATTAAGATACATAATACACGCAATTTTTTGTAAAGTGTGCTGTTACAGAAAATGTCAATGTACTTTGTTCCATTCAGGAAATTAGTGTTAGAATTTTAAAATTTATACTAGAAGTATTTAAGATTAGTTGTATGCATTATGCCCAAATTAAATTGTTTACTTAAAATACTGAAAAATAACCTAGGGTGATTCAATAACATCGAATATTTTTTTTTACTTCCGACTTCATTGGTAATAAATTGTTTAATCAAATCTTTATACAGTTTGACCCATTTGTTTGCGACTCACCCCTGTAGAATGTTTATTGTGCGATTTTAACCAGATTTTTATGTATGTCAGTTTTTAAGAGTAAATTTTTAAGAATTCATATTAGCGATTTTTTTAAACAAAATCTAAGCACGGCACTGGATTCACCACCCCTAAAAACCTAGAGCCTATAGGTACTAAATTTTATTGAAAAATTTTAAGTGGAAAAATGCACAATAACTACAAAAATTTATTCTGTCAAGTTATCCATGAAAAAAACATTAAAATAAAATTAAAATTATAGTCATAGTTTAATTTTATTTCAATGTTTTTTTCATGGATAACTTGACAGAATAAATTTTTGTAGATATTATTGTACATTTTTCTACTTAAAATTTTTCAATAAAATAGGGTTTTGAGGGGGTGGTGAATCCAGTGCCGTGCTTAGATTTTATTTTAAAAAGTCCCTAATATGAATTCTTAAAAATTTACTCTTAAAAACTGACATAGTAGGCCTTGTATTTTATAAAAAACAAATCCGGTTAAAATCGCACAATAAATAAAGATTTTACAGGGGTGAGTTGCAAACTGGCTGGAAATTAAAAAATATATATTTTTTAGTTTTCCAATTTAATTTAAATTTAATTTCATAAATATGAATTTTTAGGTTATTTTTTAATATCTCAAGTATATCAAGTATAAATTATAATTTAAAACCCTCATGTAGGTGGTGAGCCTGTGGTGCATAGTACATGTAATATACATGTAAATATAATAAATGTATACTAGACTGGTCGTAAAAAAATTTTTTTCAACCGCCGGGCGAAAAAAGTTTTGTTTTGGCCTAAATATGTCTCATTTAAAATTTTGTAGTTATAAGATAATATTTAGTGGCCGCGCCCAGGCAGGTAAATATGAAAATACGGAAAATATTAATAAAAATAATATTTTTAAAACAAATTTAATTATGGCGTAGTAAACTTATTTTTTATGTATAAATTAGTATGTAGTTGCATTGCTAATAATTTGACTCAAAATGAAGAACAGAAGCAATTTGTCATCAGTTTGTTGAAGCATATCGCAAAAAGTTTCCTTCCTGTAACAAAACCGCACTTAGTAATTTAATGTAAAATATTCACGAACCTTTTTTAAATTCTAACCGAATTTGGACATTAATAGCTTTTTGTGAATGTTGTTCTATTAACCATTTAACAGAATATTTATTTCTTTGATTAATTTAAGTTTTGTGCATGCATTCACTCATAAACAATCCAAATAAAAACAATTTTCTGAATATTTTGTATATTTAAATTTCCTCACCTGGGCGCGGCTATTAAATATTATCCGATCGTCACCAAAATTTAAATAGAAAAGTTTTAGGTTACAAAAAAACTTTTTTTGCCCGGCGGTTTAAAATCAGAAAAAAAAAATTGAATTACCAACCAGTCTAATGTATACATTAGACTGGTTGGTAATTCAATTTTTTTTTTCTGATTTTAAACCGCCGGGCAAAAAAAGTTTTTTTGTAACCTAAAACTTTTCTATTTAAATTTTGGTGACGATCGGATAATATTTAATAGCCGCGCCCAGGTGAGGAAATTTAAATATACAAAATATTCAGAAAATTGTTTTTATTTGGATTGTTTATGAGTGAATGCATGCACAAAACTTAAATTAATCAAAGAAATAAATATTCTGTTAAATGGTTAATAGAACAACATTCACAAAAAGCTATTAATGTCCAAATTCGGTTAGAATTTAAAAAAGGTTCGTGAATATTTTACATTAAATTACTAAGTGCGGTTTTGTTACAGGAAGGAAACTTTTTGCGATATGCTTCAACAAACTGATGACAAATTGCTTCTGTTCTTCATTTTGAGTCAAATTATTAGCAATGCAACTACATACTAATTTATACATAAAAAATAAGTTTACTACGCCATAATTAAATTTGTTTTAAAAATATTATTTTTATTAATATTTTCCGTATTTTCATATTTACCTGCCTGGGCGCGGCCACTAAATATTATCTTATAACTACAAAATTTTAAATGAGACATATTTAGGCCAAAACAAAACTTTTTTCGCCCGGCGGTTGAAAAAAATTTTTTTACGACCAGTCTAGTATACATTGTATTTCCAACCAATAAAAATACAGAAAAAAATTAAAAGGTGCATTACTATTTTCTGTGACTGTACATAACATTGGAATTAATTCCAATAATGTGTAATTCCACATAGAATAATTTTAATGGCTCCTAGTTTCTCCTAAAAATTTGCTTATACTTCAGTTTATAATTACTATTTTGTGTTTTTTATTTAATTTAAAGTTTAAATTAAATTTTAAACCCTTTGTCACAAGATAAATAAAAAAATTAAAAGATATTACTTTAAATATTGATCATAATAATATACTATAATAAAGAAACTGTTTCACATTAACCTAGTAATTTTTAGACTTTAGTTTTAATTTGAATTGCCTTTTAAATATTTAATACCTATAGATTTTAAATTTAAACTTTACTGTTTTCATAAAGACTTTTAAGATCCCAAATTTGTTGATTTATAAATTTATATAACTAATACTTTTCCAAATATTGTTGTTTTTGGGGCTAGTTTTAACAGATGTGATCAATCCTCAATGATCTAAATAGACACAAAAACATAATATTTTTTATTATTTAAAGATGAGCCAATCACCAAGTTTTTGTTGTATTAAAATAAAATTATTTACCTCTATCAGTATGTCTTCTTTCTATAGTTCTTATCCTGTCTTCCCCACTAATTTTAATAATCTCCCGAACATAAATTTCTGAATTTTCTGCTACATTATCATCAGAGTGTTTCACTCTTTCACTTTTATGTTTACTCAACAATCTTTCTCTTAAGTCTTTCAGAGCCCTATCAGCTCTTTCTTCATATTTTTTATGTGTATTATCTTCATTATTTGTACTTTTTCTTTCCTCATTTCTAAGCCTTTCCTTTTTATGTAAATATTGTATATAGGCATCATGGTTTGATTTTGCTTTATCCCGAGGTTTGTGTCTAAAATATTTATTTTATTTAATTCAAAAACTCCCTTTTAATTTAGAATTTAGGTATTACCTATATTTACTCTTGTAATGATCTGGCTTTCTGGAACTTTTATAGTGGGACTTGAGCTTTTTATTTTTCAATACATCCATATCAATTCTAGATTTTAATGCTCTAACAATTTCTATTCGCTAAAATCAATCACTTTAATAACCTTTGACATGGACAATCTGACATTTTGAAAGATAATAAAACTAACCTTAAAATGCTTAAATGTCTTTAGTTTCCAGGACTATCATATATTTTAGTGTCGTCCTTGTGAACCATGGACATATTAAAAGTTGTGAACTATAAAGGACATTATATTATAAGCATTTATGCTAAACTTTATTTTTAATGAAACCTGAAATTATATTATTGACAGACTATTGACAAGTTGATGTTGACACCAGTGTTGCCAAACTGATTTTACCAATCCGTATTGTTCATCTTTTACGGAAGGCAATCTATAAATCGGGCTTAAAAGTTTCTGAGTTGAAAGTAAAGTTACCTTAAACTTCAAAAATACATACGTAGAATCTACATTGTAGATCCCTATTTTGCCATACAAATAGTCCAAAACTCAAAAAAATATCAGCAAATCAAATAAATATCCTACTATTGGCGACACTTGTGCAGCTAACTCCAGGTTAGTTACTAACTTAACATTATATTATTGAATGCAACCCATTATACAACGAAGTTGCCTATACAACAGACTGATTTTTCCTTATCCGTCGGGACCACAGACCTTTGTAGGTCTGTGGTCGGGACGCTTATTATCATAGATGACATATTGATAAGGATCCCATCCCATAAATATAATAAATAGTATTATTTCTATGGTAGGAACCTATTAAGTTTGGACTCATTGTGTAGGCTGAATCCACTAAACTATTTTGTTTAAAATATCGATTAAAAACAAAATTTTGTTAATACTACTTTAAAGTAATTACTTGTTTTTACATTGCAGTGCAATGATTGCACAAGGTAAGTTATCACATTCACAGGTAAAATTTATAAAAATATGATCAATCAACGTACAAGAATAGTACTTAACTCTGGTGGGCCATTTTAAAAGTGTCTATTTGAAATTAATTTTTAACCTGACCACTATAACAAAAAAAAATCAGAAAAAATACTAAAAAAGTGATAAAAAATCATATTTATTTTTTTCAAAAATTTTCAGATTTTTAAATTAATTTTTAACCTGAGCCTTGACCCCCTTAACAAAAAAAATTAGAAAAAATACTAAAAAAGTACCCCCAAAATTGATCTGAAACCCTCAAAATACCCCGGATCCCAAGTTTCAGCCTTCCCCCCTGTACCAACTCAACCTATTGAGTAAATTTGAGAAAAATGAGCAAAATGAGCAATATTCAACCAAAATGAGCAAAAATTAGAGGAAACCCAAAATTGAGCAAAACAACTAAAATCAGAGCAAAAATCAAGTTTGTGATTTGCTACAAATATCAAAACAATTCAGGGTAGTAGACAAAACCCAAAGCTAGTTTTAGATCTTGGAGAGAAATCTGAAAATAGTCAAAAAATTAAAAAAAAAATGAATATTTACAAAAATTTCCACTTGTCCATTGATTAGAAACCTCAAACTATAAACTACCCTGATTTATAAATCAGGGTAGTAGACGATACCCAACCCCTCAGCCTTTTGAAATATCTTACTTGTAATTTTTTTTATTGGAAATTGTAAAATAATAAATAAATTAACATTTTATATAATATCGGGTGGGGCAAAGATTCTTCATTTTTTATTAGGGCGATTTATTATGTCATTTGAAAATGAGAAAGTCAGTGACAATTTAAACCAATGTATATAGACATGAAATAAAAATTTAAATTTTTATTTATTGGCGTGGTCGCGCCAGTATACCTATAGGTATACTGGCGCGACCCGGTATATACCTGTAAGGTATATATATACCTAGGTACTGTTTATTTATCAATAAAAAAAAATCTTCCTCCTCATTAAGCTATCAAATTAATCCAGGTTGTGTATAAATCTTTATAAAATATCTACCTATCCAATTGCCGATAATAACAAATATTATTTGCATTTGTCCTCGATTTAATTTACATTCAATAATGAATTTAAAGTTAAAATTTGGACCCAAGTAAATATGAAAAATGCATTATACATTATTTATGAAATTGCCAGTCCAGTAGTAAAATATCTTTTTTATAATGGGTCTCGGTAAAAAAATCTGTTTCGGCCGGGTTAATATTTTAAAATAATTTCAGTATAAGTAAAATACGCAATTTTTAAATAAATTTAAAATTGTAGTAACACAACCATTCACACAAATCTGGCATTTAACGAAAAAAATTATTCACTTTTTTATGTTCATAAATATTAAATGTACAATTAGATATATTTTGGAATGAAATTCCATTTGTACTTTTGGAAAATTTATTAAATTAGTCAATAAATATGAAAATTGTGCCCACATACATTTTAGTCTCCAAAATAATACAATATTGTAAAATCCGTTAAAGAGAAGAAAACAAACTTTAAAGGTTTAAACAAATTTGGTTTTCTACAACCACTTAACCTACTGTCTGTTTTGATGTTTATGTGTAAAGTGTTTAATATGGATATATTAAATGAATTAAACATCGACATTGAATACTTTGGTACCAAGTCGCTAATATAATCAGTTTGAACGGATTTGAAAAATCACAATGAATTTTACAAAGTGCAAATATTCAAATGAATTTTAATAATGGTTATGCTGGGAACGCAATTTCTTCTATTACTTGTTAGTTTTAGTGCGAAATGGGTTACGTCTACGGGAGTGGGACCCTGTCCCAGAATAAAGTATCTCGACAACTTTAACATATCAGCAGTGAGTTTACTAGTTATTAGTGTAATTAATAGTTTTTAATGTAATTTTTATTTATTTGTACCTAAATATTAAACGGTGTCTGGACCATAGTGATTTTGCTGGAAACCTCCAGTTACTTAAGTAACGCTTAAAATTTTTAGTTGTTGCAGTTAATTTTAACTCTCAGCCGACGCAAATTCTTTCTTTGGTTTGAACCAGAGATAAAGAAGGTTTGAACCTTACAAAAGAGCAAAAAACTGTCAAAACACATCTAGAAGCCACATTGTGTTTGATATACGTCCAGTGTTATATGGTCTAAGGCTTGAACCATATAACCAACCATGCATGGTCGCTCTTATTCCTGGGTTACTATTTTTTGTTTCTTTATAGGCCTGTCTTATGAAAATCACATAAAATCATTGAAATGATAAAAACTTTTTATTTACATGTTTGTTTACAATTCTTTTTATTTATTTTAGTTTACCGGACACTGGATAGAAATAGAAAGATCTTTTTATTTAATGGAATTAATCTCAAGTTGTGTAAGAATGGATTTATCACAAAATTTTAAAGGAAACATTAACGTATCTATTACCTCAAAAAGTAGATGGTCAGTATTTTAAAAATATAAAATAGTACTTAGATATAAGTATAATGAGTTATTATAATTTACATGTACGTAAATTTCGTCAGTCATTTAACTTAAAACTTTGAAATATCTCATGAGAGATCAGTTAGTATGCATTTTACGAAAAAATGTTTAAAATAAAAATTAAATGATTCGAGGGGGAAAACAATCAGTACTAAAATTGGTCCTCATACTCTCCTCCTTATAGGGGGAACAGGGGGTAACTTTAAAATTTCCAATGGAACACCCTATTTTTTATTGCAGATTCGGATCATTCGACTAAAAATAGGTAGATTTTGTCTAAAACATTTTTTCATATTTGTAATAGATGGCGCTGTAATGAAAACAAATCATATACTTACCACAAGTAAGTATATGAAACAAATCATATACTTACCACACTGTGGTAAGTATATGAAACAAATTAATTTTGTTTTTTTTTTCTTATACGATTCTGCAATAATTTTTCTATAAAAATATCACTTTTTTTGGTAATAATTATCTTATTAAATTAAATCTGATTTTTTTAAGTCCCACGATTTTTAGAAATCGTGGCTACTTAAAAAAATCAGATTTAATTTAATAAGATAATTATTAATTATAAATTTAACTGATATTTAAGTTTCCTTTGGTTTAAGCTTAAAACTAGTTTTATACATCATTTCATTCGGTGACAATTATCAATTGCGCACCATGGTCAGTTGTCCCTATAGCCATAATCTGTTTTTTTTAACCTGGCAAAATTAGTTATGAGTCAATTATAATTATCTGAATGTAAATAAATATTTTTGTTTATAAAGTACCTATAGGTATACCTATACTTTAAAATTTATTTTTTATTCATTACAAACTATAGATAAGTAATATTGAAATTATTGTTTATATAGTAAAATAAAAAGTAGTATATATATTAGGGTGTTTCATTTAAAACGAACAATTTTTTTTTCTTGCTGACACATAAAAATTTTGTTTTTTAGGTTGAAAAAAAAATTCCCTGAAAATATGAGCCCTTAATTTTGATTTTAAGTACTTCCTTTTTAATTTTGTAGTTTTTCCATATAAAAAGCATGTATTTTTAATCATTTTTACTTTAAATTTCTATATTTTGGCCGGGTTTTGAAATATAATTTTTATCACCATAATTTTCTGCATAGTATTCACGGTTTTTGGAAGGCCCTGCATCAATTTTGTTTTTGATTTATTTACGTTGATTGTAGTAGCTCCAAAAGTCGTTTTTTTCACTTTTTCTCACATATTTTTGAGAAAATCGAGCGAATGACTGGTTTTACCGAAAAAGTTCAAATAAAAAAGTTGTAGGAAATTTAATTTTTGACAAAAAAGGTTCCTACGTTCATATCACTAAAGTGCTTTGTTTAAGAGATATAAGCATTTCAATAACCAAAAACAAAGAAAAAATAGGTTTTATTAAAATTTATGTATACATACTTTTATACCTTATATCTCTTAAACAAAGCAATTTAGTGATATGAACGTAAGAACTTTTTTTGTCAAAAATTAAATTTCCTACAACTTTTTTATTTGACCTTTTTGGTAAAACTAGTCATTCGCTCGATTTTCTCAAAAATATGCGAGAAAAAGTGAAAAAAAGACTTTTGGAGCTACTACAATCAACGTAAATAAATCAAAAACAAAATTGATGCAGGGCCTTTCCAAAACCGTGAATTCACGTATTAATACTATGCAGGAAATTATGGTGATAAAAATTATATTTCAAAACCCGGCCAAAATATAGAAATTTAAAGTAAAAATGATTAAAAATACATGCTTTTTATATGGAAAAACTACAAAATTAAAAAGGAAGTACTTAAAATCAAATTTAAGGGCTAAAATTTTCAGGGAATTTTTTTTTCAACCTAAAAAACAAAATTTTCTTGTGTCAGCAAGAAAAAAGAATTTTTCGTTTTAAATGAAACACCCTAATATACCTATATATTGAAATTATTGTTTATATAGTAAAATAAAAAGTATACTTGGTCTAAAAACGAGTCAGATCACTATATTTTAAAATTAAATATTTTGATATGGACATTTCGCGACACCACGCGTTGGGTCACGTTAATTATTTATTTTTTTATTTGAAGGTCAGGGGTATTTTCAATAAGTGAAGGTATAGCAACTGTATCGAAAAAACACCCGTCTATTTTTGTTTATAAAGTTATTAGCACGTTACCGAAAGCAGTAAGCAGATATTTACCTGGAGCTGGATCATATCAAGTCATTAAAACTGACTATTCAACATACGCGGTTTTGTATTCTTGTACCAATTTTTCTTTTGCAACGTATCCTCTGGCCAACACAGGTAAGAATTATTAATACCTAGCATGTTTATTAAATTAATTACCTATATAATATTATTTAAGATTTGGTTTGGATATTGGGAAGGCAAAAAGAAATAAGCGCTGAAATAAGATCGGAAATATATGATTTTCTAGCATTTTACCAAATTGACTCGGAGAGACTGATTCTGGCTCAAAATCTTAATTGTAACTAATAAATTATTTTTATAAAAAATTATTTTGTATTTATTTTATGAGGCCTTTCTTTAACCAAGAATTTTGTTCCAATAATTTTAAAGAAGACCAATTAAGTATTTCAAGTCGTCTTCAGATGGATACTAAATAAGTTAAGTAGCTACATGTCTATTAATATATAAGCCTGGGGCACTTTTTTTGTTTATAACCACAGATTATAAAGGTTTATAACTTAAAAACTATAGGTCATACCTATACAAAATTAAAACTGACACTAATAATATGTTTAGCCACAACCTTCCTAATCAAAACTTATCTCAAACAAAATATAGTGAGGAAGTAGAAATGTGTAATTTTTACATTTTAGTGCCACATTGAATTAAGTAAATTTGACTAAAAAGCCTATTAATAAATAAATAAAGTTAAGTAATGTATGTAAGACAAGATTAATTCTACTATATAGAATTGTGAAATATAAACCAGTATTAAAATTACAAACAATAATTTATTTAAATAAAAAACATTTTTAATATCAAGTACTTAGTAAAAATTGCAGACTAAAAAATACTGTAATTAAAAATCCTCACAATAAAAATATTCTAGTTTAAACTATTCATAGAATTGATGTCTCCCAACTTCAAAATTTCAGCTTCTCTCTCTGTAATGTTATTGCTATATGCCTCTTGGTCTCTTAGCCAAGTTTGACTTTTATCAACCTCTTGGGTTACTACTAAAAATAACTGTTTGTCTTTACTGTCCATTTCTTGTTTTAAAAAATCCAATAGGTCTAGCTCCTGAAAAAGATGTTCAAAAATTTTTTACAAATGTAATAAATAATATGTAACTCACCCTTCCTATAACTTGGGGTTTATCCAATTTAGAATCTAAATTATAATACAATCCATTCAATTCCCTAATAGTAATCCAATGCCTTCTTCTTAAAGGAAGTGTCACAAAACTAATTTTATAATCACTTGGAACATTTAAAATAAAACCACACACATTACTTAGTTGCAAACATTCAGGATCTCTAAAACAACTCACATAAGTAACATACCTACTTCTTTGTAAGTTCAAAAAATTACTTTCTTCTGTCAAACCATTTTGTTTCAAACCCTCTGGATTGTAAAGCCTTCATAATTACATTAATGTCATAATTGCCCAAGCCCAACACTGATCTATGGGGATTGATCCAGTTATCTGGCGAAAGGGTCTGACAAATACTATCTAGTTCTATTTTACTAAAGGCATCTCTAGATTGAAATAGATTGTTTAATGCATGTAATGCACACAATTCTCTGACCTGCTTTTCATGATATATTTCTATTGAACTCATATCAAATTAATGTTGTCTTACTTTACATTTGCATTTTAGGTTATGTTGTTTTATTTATTATCATTGAGCCATACCATTTTTTTGTTATTAGACTGACACTATTAAAACCATATTTATATTTTTATCTAGAAATATTCAACAACTAGTATACTAAAATTTACAATTATTAAGACGAAAGATAGACTTATCTTCAAATGTCAAGTTGACAACAAATGCTGCCAACCTTAATGTAAGTGTCAAAAAAGTAACAGCGTTGCCGGGTTGCTGTTAATTTGCGCGTATCATTTGTTAAGCCTGATTTATAGATTGCCTTCCTTCCTTCCACTATAGTACGGCGTACGGGAATCTATAAACAGCACAACTGTTTTTGTACTGTTCATCTTTTACGTGAGGAAGGAATTTTGTTTCTGTATTTACGAACAAAACCCCTAAATTTGCAACGTTGCCGCAGTCCAGATAAAAAAAAATAAACTTATATGCATTGCTAGTGCGCATATTGAAATAATAAAATTGTTTCCACTTCATATATTTGTTCCACTTTTTAAAGATTAGATAAATATTTTTGAATAAATTATAAGTCATATAATCTAGAATAAAATTTTATTTTTACACAGCATAACATTAATTAATACCTTCAAGTATATGTAAAATTTGAAAATGCAAATATATACATTTAAATTTCTATTACTTATAAATATAGGGATTCAGATATTTTGCATACATTTCAAATTTTACATGTTAAAATATTTTAACAGTAGGTAATTATATTATATCACTTGAATAAAGTTTTGACTTATTGTTTGTTGGGTATACATAGAAAAGTCCTAGTTGAAATCCTGAGAGCAGGGCGCCAAGAAAATTTGGTATCTAAAAAATTAATTTAAATTCTACAGTATTTTTTATGGTTAATTAAGTCCTTACCTGTATAAACATATCCTCCAGTAGGTATCCATATAACAGCCACTGGATGCAGACAACAAACGAAGCAAGAATAATGGGATATGGCAAACTTTCTGTATTTTTTACCCTTATAACATGCATAAGGGACGATAATGGTGCAGCAAAAAACAAAATAGTAACTCCTGTGCAAATTAAGCCCAAATGATTCTGGGCTTCTTCCAAATTTGATGCATTTTTTACATATAATAATGTGGCTAGTAAAATCAAGCCACATGTAATTATTTGGCGAATAATATATTCCTGCAAAAAAAAAGAATATAAAAAATATTTTACTGTTAGGGAATTAAACTTACCGTTTTAATACTGTATAAGTAAAAAACTACCACATAGGCAATAAATAATAAGGATCCAACCGCATTTACAAAGATAATTGATTTATCTTCAATCAAAAATCCATATCTTAACCATAATGCAGTGGATAGGCATCCACTTACAAAGGGAAAAGAAGAATTATCACCCGTACTTTTATTTTGTATAACTTTTTGACAAACAAGGCTAAAATGAAACTTGCAAATCAAACATGTTTTTTATAAAATTCCATACATACATTCCAGTTAGAAACTGCAAAATAGCGCATATTGAAGCTGTTATACCAAGGAAGTTTTTAAAATCTTCACTATCCATTTTTATGTCATATTTTATATTTATTTAATTATTATTTTATTTTTGCCGTACTAACCCGAATTGACAACATATCAACAAAAGGTTATTTTGTCTGTTGACAGATTTCATTGCAATATTGCCATGTTTCCATTTTAATTCTAATCTCATGGTACTCATAATTCTAATCTCATGGTAGTACCATGATATATACTTATAAAATAAATGAATTATACCATTATGAAGTTAAATTAATCATTTAAGTAAACAAAGTTTCTGCTTTCAAATATTTTTGTACACTTTCATTTGACAACACTGTCATTATACGTCAGTAATTTATAACCTAAAATTATGACGACAGTTTGTTGCTCACTTCTGTCCGTAGCGGGTGTTGTCTCCGATAATTTCAAAATATTGCTGTTTTGAAGAATATTTGTATTTTTTTAATGTGTATGTGAATATGGCATCTCTTTCCTTACCTCGTGTGCTCCATCCAAGAAAAACTAGTTTGGAAGTTGAAAGGGAAAGCTTCGAAAAGTCACAGGTGTGTATTTAGGTTATTTTGTTTGTTTAAATGGACAAATCTTGAAATAATCCCACATTTGATGTAAAAAATTGGTTCAAAAAGTATGCAACATGCATTTGCATTCAAAATATACCTTTTTATACCTATATAAATGTTTAGAAACAAAATATTCCAAATCATTGTTGTTAAAGAAAAAAATATTTAACTAATAACAATGCATTTTAGGTATTGTTAATCTTACAGACTGATTATTTTATAATACCTACATTTTATTTATTTAATTTTTAAAGTAGGTAGTTTAAATAGTACAAGATATAAAATAATACATTATCATTTTTATTCTTTAGGTATTTTGTTACATGTTTAGGTAGTAATATTATTATCATACCTTAAGGTAGGTATTATACCTATAATAGGTACCTAAGGTATCCCTTAATAATGCTTTTGTTATTATTATAGGTGTTCTTTTTATTTTATAGTGATCATAATAATTATTATATTACTATTATTTACCTTTTTATTTATTTTTAACAGTTTTAGCACTTTTTATTTTAACTGCATGCCTTTTGGAAAATTAGTTTTGAAATGGAGTACGAAATTATTAAAACAGAACGATTCGTAAGTAAAAAGATATATTAAAAATCACTTATGTTTTTTGCTTCATGTGCAGTTTCTGTATATTAAATCATTGTTTAATCAAAATGTAATAAAACTACCCTAACAACAATGATGAATAACTTGAGTCATCCAACACTTTACTGAAAAGAACTGTCATTGTTGGTAGGGTATGGTAAAATAATTTTTATAATACCATTTTTATTAGTATTGGTATCAGCCCATCATTGTTTATCACTCAATTAAAATAAAAATTGAATAAAGTAATACAAAAGCAAAATTAAAAAGTATTGAATAAACCACTGATTACAAATAAAATGATAACCAACAAAACAAAACATTAATGTTAAAAATTATTGTAACGGAAATTTCCTAAATGTTATTTTTTTATTAATAATAGTAGGTCCTATAGGTGCATATTTCTTGACTTTGTTTTTTGCTTAAGAAAATATATTAAAATAGTCCATATTTAGAATTAATTACCTTGGCATAACCACCACATGCATGACTGCAATTTTATGATGATTTTTTTTCATAGAAGTACCTATATATTTATAGTATCAAAACTGCTTTTTATAATTGCCAAAGAAATGACCATGGACATATTATTATTGTTAATGAGTCCATGGAAATAACCATACATTTTGGAAACAACTTTACCTATACAATTTTATGGTGTATTTTATACATAAATTATAAAAAAATATGGTATTTAATACAGCTTTAGTAGCCTAATATTTTTGAATTACAATTTTAATTATCTTTTTAACATTTTATTATTTTATTTATTTTCAAAGATACCTATTAAGAAAAGAAACGTCTCGTTGTTCTTTGAGTTGTTCAATGTATTGAAACATAATAAATATTACACATACGTTTAGCATGTACAATTCTGTGGCCCTATCTTTTCCGATTTTTTTTATTCAAGTTATTATCTCTGTTATTAACATATATAAACTGTTTTAAAGCAACCCCAAGGGTTAAAGTCTTTGCATGTAAAAAGAGTATAATACATCCACATGAAATATTAGTAAAAGTATGGGACAAATGTAAATATCTGTACTTTTACCAGTAAATGCTTACATTTACTTAAAAAACGTGGTTTGATAATTTCATTAGAGAAACGTGCTTTGAATGTAATTGTGTTTTATTACCGCTTTCTATATTAAAAACTAAAACTACAAAAAATTAAAATTCAGAACAAAAATCGATATAAACTTGGACTTACATAATACTTTACATTATCTAAAAATAGTCTGTAAAACACAATTTATCGACTAATAAATTATAGAAAATTTTAACCAAACATTTATAGAGCACAAAGCATTAAAATGCAATTTCCATAATGATTAATTATTATTAAAAAAATCTCCTACACTAGACTAAAGACTAGACGCTTAAATTTTTTATCTTTTCCATCTGTTTGATTAAAAAAAATGTAAACATGTTTGTACGCAAAAATTGACCTTGATGCAGCCAAAGATTTTGCATCCGAGGCTCTAAATTTAAACCCGTATATCATTGTTGCCCCGCATTTCCACCGTCACTCAGACACATGGTTAAACCGGAAGTTTAACATATTAAATGTTCCCTGCTCACCCAGGGATCCTCATTCGAGACTTAAACAGGATCGTATTAGGAATTAATTAGTAAAAACCCCAAAATTATTTAAAAATAACTCTTTGTTCTAATTTTAATAAAAATTTTAAGATATTTTTTTAAATGTTAATATAATAGCATTAATTAATATAATAGTATGTGTAAATATATTAATTAACGTTGTCTATGTTTGCGAATTTTTTATCCATTGTTTTTTAAACATGTAACTTATAATCTTTGACTAATAAACAATAAAAATTTATAATCTTGCTATTGTTTTACTGTCACTAAAATTATTTTTTTTTTTAAATAAGGACAACATTATTGTTGAAAAAGGTTTTTCGAAAATGGCGCACCGGCAGAATATAACAAACATGACAAAGATTTTGACGAATAGTTTTTAAGTAATAATAGTGTGACCCATTTGTTTGCGCCTCACCCCTGTAAAATCTTTATTGTGCGATTTTTTTTAAAGGGCAGATATTGATAAACTGTATTTTTGAAGCATATTTTTACAAAATACAAGGCGTACCTATGTTAGTTTTTGAGTGTAAATTTTTAAGAATTCATATTAGCGATTTGCGATGTTGCTATTAGTTTAATTTTATTTCAATGTTTTTTCATGGATAACTTGAGAAAATAATTTTTTGTAAATAATAAATATTGCACTTGTACCCTTTTGCTTCTTACCCCTTCAAATAACTCATAATAAAACACTTTAACCTTTACATTTTTGTATGTGAGAAAGCAGAAAATTCGAGGGTGATTCCTAAACCTAGTTTAAGAAACAAAGTTTATATATATACGTACATATGAGGCCTGTCAGAGCAAAGTCAACAATCTCCCATCAGACTAAAACTGAGTAAATTGAGATAATTGATTTTGGTATTTTAAATTCTAGATTTGTAATTTTTTTTATATATTATATTGAAATATTGTTGTTGTTAGTCTAGTAGCCAACTACAGGTCTCCAGGATGCATAGTATAGGTAAAATCTATAATTATAAATTGGAGATTGCTGACTTTGATATGAATTGCTGGAGATTGCTCATTTTGTTGTAAACGTTTAAGGAGATTTAGAAAAATAAACAAAAAAATAATTGTTTTTTTTATTCTTTTAATGGGTATAAAATTTAACTATACAATCAATGTGGGAAAATTCTGAACTGGACCACCTAAATCTGGAGTTTCTTCTAAATCTGGGACCAGGTTGCCTCATGCACAAGTACATAGTACAAGATCATCTTCTTCCCACTTTGCCCCGTAATGTTTTACTTGCAATGTTTTGACTTTATCAGCCTTTTCTTGCTTAACTTTTACGTCTTATTATGGTATAATAGCACAAAATAAACAAGATAACTTTTTTTATAATTCTTAAAACAATAAAACGTATATATACCTATTTTAAATATATTTTAAAGTGCCATTTATTGCAATAGAACTTAACAGTTACTGTATGTACCAGTAAAAAAACACAAAACACGCAAATCTATCAGTGGAGATTGTCGACTTTGCACTAAATGTCATTTTTAAAATAGGATTTTAGGCAGGATTTAGCTCCTTTTGCAGCACATAAACTTTATCATCTTATAGATATATCTGTTCTTCAACTAATTATAATTAGTTGAAGTACAGTCTCCGCCAAAAATCTAATTTTTGACCAAAAGTGGAGATTGTCGGTTTTGCTATGACAGGCCTCATAATATGTAAGCCCATCTTTTCTTAGATGCAAGGTGATGAACATTTTAGTTTTCTTTAAAGTGTGTTAATTATTTTTAAATAATTACAATTTTGACTACTGGTGGTATTATTAATATTGGTAGAATACTTAATTGAATAGCATATTGTAATGAAAATTTATTTATTCTCTAAACTTAGCCAACACCACAAAATATCAAGTATTTTATTTTAGGAATTAATTAATCTGCAAAACTATTAAAGAGGGGAAAAGCATTAGACGTCTATATTTTTTAAATAAAATTTAACTTTAATATAAAACTGAAAACGTTTTAAAACATGCTTAAAGAAACCTTTTTTCATGTATTAAATTCAGAAACTATGAGGCGCCGTTTGTCCGTAAATTATTTTTGCTATATATAAGAATATTTTTTATATATAAGTTTATAAACTTTAAATTTCCTATATAGAAACTTTTTAGTTCAGATAATGCCGCTTGAGAATGAGGGCGCTTTGTGGTATTCAACAAAAAAGCACTGTTGCCGGAGTGTGCCAATCTAGCGGAACAAAATGATAGCAAAAAGTATAGGATTTTAGTTTTTTTTAAATACTTATAGGTAATATATTGGTCGGTTGGTCTATTTTTATTGAAGAAAACATTTCTCTTCTTTGGCCATCTCTATTTCTCTAAATAAACACTGCTTCGTTTTTACTAATAGGTATTTAAAAAAACTAAAATTTCTTACGTTTTGCTTCTCTTGTCAATTTATAAAAAAACAAACAATTTTTTTTAAACTTGGACTCTTACAAATTAAATTATATAGGTACAAATGATTTGTAACAAATCTTATGACAAATACCATTCGATATTATGTTCAAGTTTCCGTTAAAAAATCCGTCAGCTGTAAGAGTATCTTTTTTCCCTCGACCTAGATTAAAATCTGCCAGATCTGGCGAAACGTTATGTTGGAAACACTGACCAAAACTTTGCATTGGCACACTCTGGCAACAGTGCTTTTTAGTTGAAAACCGCAAAGCGCCCTCATTCTCAAGCGGCATTATCTGAACTAAAAAGTTTCTATATATATAGGAAATTTAAAGTTTATATATAAAAAATATTCTTATATATAGCAAAAATAATTTACGGACAAACGGCGCCTCATAAGAAACCACCTCCTAAAACTGTTTAAACACCAACATAAGGGTTATTTATTTTTATTAGAACATCATAGTTATCATTCATTATCAGTTCCCTGCAAAATATACTACCCATAATTGAAATTACTTTTCGTTGCTATAAAGTATTGTTTTGCTTTTAGGGGCTTTGGAAAATCATTGCGTACCTATGCGTATTTACAAAAGTTTATAGTAAATTTTTCTTTTAGTCCCAAGCGTTGCAAAAAGCCATCAACAATGTCGAGGCGCCTGTCAAAGAGAAGCACGTCCGTTCGGCCATCATCGGAACGTACCAGACGCAAGGCGCCAAGCTCTATTGGTCGATCGTGCAGCGCCTCCATGCGATGGACGACAGAATCATTGCCTGGAAGTTGTGCCACGTGACACACAAAGTCTTGCGCGAAGGGCACCCTCTCTGCTTGGTCCATAGCCAAAGGCACATACAGGATTTGGACGAAATCGGGAAACTATGGGTAAATTTCATTTTATACTCAAGTAGGTACATTATAATATAATGATTATGTAATGGATGTAATATATTAAAATGGGTAGTTCCTTAGGGTCCATAAAGAAGCTTATAAATAAATCGGCGTTTTTATGGTTTAGGATTTTTGTAGAAAATAAAAATTGGTTTTTTTCTTTTTTTGTGATTTAGTAAGTAAAAAAAATATGTAAATTAATTCAAAAAAGTCTGATTTAATTCAAGTCGGACTTTTTGACTTTTTTATACAAGTCATGACTTATATAAGTCATGACTTGTATAACATGGGATATTCCAACCCCGTTTTTAAATATTGGCGTCAAGAAACTATTTAATATTTTGTATTTTTGTATTGAGATAATAAATATTAATATTTAGATTTAGTCACAATCCACACAACAAGGTCTGTCCTATTTCATACTAAAACTACAAAAAATCACTGCAACACTGCACAGTTTAACGGTGGCCATTTTTTTGTTCACAATTTTTGTGCTTTGGGTTTGTGCTCTGTTTATACAGATTAATAATCGTTTTAAACGTTGTGTTTCTCATAGTAAGCCTTAAAAGAGTCCTTAAAGTGCTAAGAACAACCATTTTACTCCTCTATTGTAAAAAAATAAACTTTATTCTATCAGGGCTGTCATAAAACTGTCAAATGTCAATTTTAAGGTTAAATTATAACCCACAAATTAACCTTCAAATTGTCATTTGACAGCCCTGATAGAATAAAGGTATATTTATTGGGTGACGTTCATAATATCGAAATTCACTTTATCGAATTCAAAATATCGAACACTTTTTATCGAAAATCAAAATATCGAAAATACAAAATGTCGAAAATCAAAATATCGAAAATACAAAATTATACAAATATTATTTTAATCCGAAGTGTATATGTACAGAGGCGCCTCTGATATAGAAATGTACTCAAACTCAACAACACAACCCAACCGACCCCGCCCCATTGGCCCCCCCCTGCCCCATTGAGCAAAAAACCCAACTAAAATGGGCTAATTTATGTAATTAAAAAGTGTTTTATTTTTATCGTAACATGAATTTGCCCATTTTAGTTGGGTTTTTTGCTCAATGGGGCGGGGGGGGGCCAATGGGGCGGGGTCGGTTGGGTTGTGTTGTTGAGTTTGAGTACATTTCTATAATTCGGTGCATAACCGTAACTTTATCCACAGAGGCGCCTCTGTACATATACACTTCGATTTTAATCATACATTTTAATTTTCGATATTTTTAAATCGATATTTTAATTTTCGAAATTTTAATTATTCGACATTTTCAAATCGACATTTTAATTTTCGATATTATCATTTTCGACATTTTAATTTTCGAAATTTTAATTATTCGACATTTTCAAATCGACATTTTAATTTTCGATATTATCATTTTCGACATTTTAATTTTCGATATTTTGATTTTCGACATTTTGTATTTTCGATATTTTGATTTTCGATAAAAAGTGTTCGATATTTTGAATTCGATATAATGAATTTCGATATTGTGAACGTCACCCATATTTATTATAAAAGAGGAGTAAAATGGTTGTCCTTGGCACTTAAAGGCCTTATTTGAGGCTTACAAGTGCCTCTGTAAACACAACGTTTAAAACAATTATTAAACAGCACAAACCCAAAGCACAAGAATTGTAAACAACAAAAATGGCCGCCGTTAAACTCTGTGCAGTGTTGCAGTGATTTTTAGCATGAGATAGAACAGACCTTGTTGTGTGGATTGTGGATTTAGTATTATTTCGCAAGAAAGGCACTTTATTTTAACGATTGTATGACATTTGTAAACAGTCAACTAACTTAAAACTAACTTCAGCCCGTGACTAAAAACCTGTTGCCAACTTCAGCCGATGACTAAAACTAATTTTGATATTAAATAATAATTTCTTTATTATAATGCAAACATTTCACAAATAGGATAAAGATTTAAAAGCTATTTGGAAATATATTTGCTTTATTTTAGGGTCATTTAAAGGAAGGTTATGGAACTATGATAAGAAAATACACCATTCTTTTAATTGCAAAACTAGATTTTCACAAACGAAATCCAAGATTTCCAGGGCATTTGGGAGTGACACCTGATGAATTAGATTCAATTGCTGGAAGTGACATAAATAATTAGTAAGTATTAACTAAAGTTTTACCGAAATTATTTATTACTGTTTTAATAATTATTAAACAATACATTTTAGCTTTCAAATGACTGTAGAAATGTTTGACTACATCGACAATATTTTAGAACTGCAAACTGCCAGTAAGTCTTCGAGCATTATCAAAAAAACCGACTTAATTTTAATATTTTTTTTTACTTTATTTCAGTATTTGGCTCTTTAAATATGGCCCGCTCAAACTCGATGACCAACGCCGGCCAGTGCCGATTAGCTCCGCTCATTCCCTGTATTCAGGATGCATCGAAATTATACGATTATTGTGTTAAAATTATGTTCAAGCTACATGGCACTTTACAACCTGATATATTACAGGGCCATAGGGACAGATTTTTAAAACAATTCAAGACATTAAAACAGTTTTACCAGGCTACAAGCAATCTGCAGTACTTTAAGGATCTTATAGCTATACCACCACTTCCAGATGTAAGTTGAACATTTTCATCACAAAGTTTTCACTCCTCATAAAATGTATGCGGTTTTTTATATTTTAAATAGACTGCGGGGTCTTGTAAAAAACTTTTTAATTTTAGTATACACTTGGCGTCAAATTTAACGCACCACTAAAAATTTGCCACAATTTTTAAAGTTCATTTTCTCGCGAACCGTTAAACCGAATTTGGTAGTTTTTGTTTTAAATTGTAGGTTTATTCTTTATTAAAATATTTTTTCAAATTTTCGTTTTGAGTATATACAGGGTGCAAGAGTAATAATAATTTTTTCCTGTAAATTTTAAACGCCATGTGCATTGTACCAACTACTACTGGGTACTATATCAAAATGACAGGTGTCAAAATGCAAGCTGTTAAAAAGACAGCTGTCAAAATGACATCCGTCAAAATGACAGGTGACTAAATGACAACTGTGAAAACGACAAATGACACCTGTTAAATTGACAGGTGTAAAAATGACAGGTGCTTAAATGACAGCTGTAAAAATGACAGGTGTCGAATAATGACCGTTTTTATTCCTTAGAATCACGCGAGCGTGTTGAAAAGCGACTTTTTAATGCAAGTGTTTAACTTACGCACCATCTTGAAAAATGCTTTTCTCACAAGTGGAACACAATGTATTTTATGCAACGAACAAATAGTAATGTTTTTCAGAATTTAATGCCAATTGTATTTAAAATTTTACCTCACAGCTGTCAAGCGGTTTTAACCTCACTTTTTACTTTTAAACAGAAACGTCGAGTTTTGCCTTGCAAATGAAAATATTTAATTTCTTAGCAATGACGCCATACGAATTTTTTTTAATTGATTGTTAGCAAAAAAATAATTAACGAAATAATAAAAAAAAAATTTAATGTTTGTGGACCGGTTCACAACCGTGATATAAACAGCACAAACCCAAAGCACAAGAACTGTAAACAACAAAAATGGCCCCCGTTAAACTCTGTGCAGCGTTGCAGTCATTTTTAGTATGCGCGAAACCTTGTTGTGTGGATTGTGTCAAAAATAATGTTGTCACAATGACAATTTAACTTAAAAATAATTTAATAATTGAGTCATCATGAAAAACCACAACAATTCAACAAACATCGTATACCTGAATAACCGAAAAAACGTATCAAATGTAAGATTACAACATTGCATTTATTTGTCTCGTTTTAACCCATTTTAGAGTCCGCCGAATTTTCTAATTATGTCGGATTTCGGTACGTATGTAACCCAAGAAGTTGTCGTTCCGGAACCTGAGCCAGAGGAAGAGGTTGTAGTTGCTCCAGAAGGCAACCTCATCGATACCACGGATTCAGCGGGGTTCGTCGAAAATCCAAACCAAATCAGCATTTCTCTGGCCGCTCACCAGGAAATGCTGAACGAGAAAGAGTATCTCAAACAACAATGTGAAAGATTAAGGTATTGGTTTTTTAAAGCCCCATAAAAAATATGTGGGACTGTTAAAACCTTTTTTTTAGATTGGAGGTGGACAAAGTTTTAACTGAAAGCAAAAGAAAAACTTTATCACTCGAAAATAAAATGGCCAACATAGAAACTGAATTGGCCAAGAAGGAAAGCGAATTGGTACAAGAAAGGCAAGTAAAAGAAGACCTTTTGAATCAATCGTTTGCGGTAGCACAAAGCCAAGATTCCGAACGTAAGTAAATAATGAAATAATTAAAAAATATTATATTAACAAAAATTAAATTGATAGAAAAAGCAAAAGAAGATAAGTTCAATCAACTAAGAAATTGGTATGTTAAACTGAGAAATGAGCATATCACAAAATTGAATGAGGTATTAAAACTGAAAAAATTAATTAAAAAGGTTTTAAAACATATTTTTCTAGAAATCTGAAGTTGATAAGAAACTATCAACTACCATCAAAAGTTTGGAAGCACTGGAGCAAGGTAAAGAAGATATGGAGGCAAGAATTAAAGAGCTACAGCAAGAACTGCAGAATCTACAACTAAAAGAAAACCAAAGTTTACAAGTACAAAACGAGGAATTGGAAACTTTAAGGAAGGATAAGGAACTTTTTAATATGGAAACAGAGGTATAGTTAAAATAATATTGATATGATGGGAATTATACAAAAAAGTGTTTCAAATTTGTTGGGTCAAAATTCAACAATCAATGTTTGATCCTACCTGCTTTAAGTAGACTAGAATAATTAAATAGGATATTTTCCGAAAATGTAAGCTTAATAAAAGAAAAAAAAAACATATACAAAAATTTAATCAGTTTTTGGGGTATACCTACTGGTTTACCCAGGACAGGTTCTGGTTTTAGCTACTTTTAATTTTGTACTGGTTTTGATTTGGTCCTGGTTTATATATTTTTTTTATTATTGACGTTATTAGCAATTTTTTTTGTGGTCGGGGCTCAGAAATTTTGGGAGTACCTTCAGAAGGGTAAAAAAGTAAGAAAAAACCTCGTTAGAAAAAAAAATTATAAAAAATTACGACTTTCTCACAGGATTTGTTCTATTATTTTTTTAAAAAGTTCAAATCTGAATTTGACAACAACCTCATTTGATTTTTTTTAAATTATGAGTTTTTCCCACTTTTTTAGGGCTCAGGTTAAACATTAATCTAAAACTTAGGAAGTACATTTAGAAGAGTAAAAAAGAAGAAGAAAAAACCTTGCTTGAAAAAAAATTATAACAAATTATGACTAACTTTTTTAGAATTGTAAATTATGACTTTGTCTCTATTATTTTTTTAAAAAGTTAACCAAAATTTAAAAATTGATGCAAACTTACTAGTTTATGTAGGTACAGGTAGTGTTAACAAGGATTTATTGCGCACATTATGACATTGATTCACTGAGAAAAAAATGGGACAAATAAACTGTGTAGCTAATACTTTTATTAATAGTGAATATATTGTTTATAACCTCTAAATAGTCGAAATAATAACGATAAATATACTTTAGTAAAACTTTATGTGTCGGGAATAAAAATATATTTAGGATAAATAAACTGTACCCTTGTCCCATATTCAAATATATTTTTTATTTGGGAGCAATAAACTTTTTTCTCAGTGTTTCTATAAATTAAAAGACTAGACAAATATAATATATTTGTCTAGTCTTTTATTTTATTTTATTTAATATATAGGCAGTTCAAAGTTTTTGTATACAATATTGTGTAGCTTTTGTTGCCAAGTAAAATAAATACTACTTCAGTAATTACAAGGACTAAGAATAAGACCAGTAAAAAATTTTCATTTTACATAATTTGACAATACTTATTTATTTATCAAGGCAGTAAAGTCGTATTTTTATCACGAATGTGGAAAAATGACTTTAATGCCGAGGTGCATATTAAATTTTATCCGAAATCACATTAATAATACTAATAATTAATGTTGATGATTAAATCAAATGTCATTTGATGATCAAATCAAATGTCATTTGAATGTAGGAAGTGTCTGCGTATACTGTTTGTTGCGACGGTTATTATATATTTGCCCGCCGCGGCGATTTTTTAATCTAATTAATAAAATTAACTTATTATTTTTATTAAACATCATTTTATGAAATAAATATTATTTAGTTGCTGCTGAGGAACAGTAGACAGTCTACTAGACACATCTTAAAATGTATAATGGGTTGCATACAATACTCGTATTAAATCGGCAGTAAAGTTCTACTTTACTGCCGATTGTTGAACTACTTTACTGCCGATATCGGATAAAAATAGATTAAAATTACAGATAGTCTTATGAGTCTTATAAGTCTATAACTCTGCATTTAATTTATAAATTAAATATAAGGGTTATTTAAAATTTTTTTACATAGGATTTAAAACTGTAATCACAGTCAAACAAAATACCTAGGTTCTTTTATATATACAAATATCACATGTTTTGGCTTTTGGTTCAGAAGAAGTCCATTTCTGGAAGACCACATACTAATTTGACAAAGATCTTCATTTAGTTAAATAAACTGTAGTAATTGATTAGTAAATTTGTGTATCATCAGCAAACATTAAAAAAAATTGCACTCTTTTGTCGGTTTCTATTAAAATAAATGTCGGATAATTTGCCTCGTTCCAGATTTTAAGAAAAAGTGTAGCTGATGCCAGTAAAGAAATAGACAAAGTAGAACTGGAGCTTAACTCAGCCTTACAAGAAAAAAGTGAACTGAAAATAAAATCGGAAGAATTGCAATACAAATTACTGGACTGCGAGAAACAACTCGATTCGATGAAAAAGGAAATCGACCAGCAAATGAAGAAGCTGGTGCAAGAAGCCCTGAAAAACAGTCGAGACATAATGGCGCACGCCATAGACGAAATCGACAATCCCGCCCTGACGGCCCTGTCGTGCAGTCCCGATTACCTGCGGAGCTTGACGAACGGCTGCTTGGACGCTTTGCAAAGCACCTTGGATCTGTCTTACGCGGATCACTCGGCAGTGGTCGTGGCTGCAAGCAAAATTTCTCACCGATTGGCCACTTTTATCGTGCAGGGCAGGGCCACCTGCAATACCAGCCCTGACATCAATTTCGGCGAAAGTAAGTTTTTAATATTTTTTTTGGCTTTTTATTTAGGTATCCTCAAGAATCTTGATCGGGAATTTTTGGTAGCCCTTATTACTTTGTTTATTACTAACTTGAATTTTATGTTTGGAAGGAACTTATTTCAAACTACAAAACTTTTTTTAAGCATGTGTAATACACATTAATATTTTTCGAGTACGGAGATTTATAGGTCAATTCTGGGTTCTCTAATTTAAGGCGGTATAAACGAACTACTGCAACTTCACGCATATTTACTTAAGATCAAACATAACCAATATATTCTTTTGTTTATCGGTTTATCATTTGTGTATATAATGTAATATATTAAAATGGGTAGTTCTTTAGGGTCCATAAAGAAGCACCTGAAACTTTTTTCTAAATTTTAAAGACTAAAAATAATTTAGAATAACCTTTATCCTACCAAAAAGTACGCCACTGATCGACTAGGAACTTTAGGCTAATCTGGTTGCCTAATTTAATTTATTATGTTATGGTTGGTAACAACCAGCGTTTCCAGATTCTGTCAATAAAAGTTGCCAGATTTTGTTTAAATTTACCTTAATTACAAAAATGACAACATCAACAATGCAAATTGTTAATTTCGTGTGTAACGAAATTTAAGACGACTCAAGAGCGATCGTGGGAGTCGATCCCGTTAAGCGCCAGGCTAGACATTTGTTTGTTTATGCAGGTGGCTTTTAGGAATTTATCTATCTTCCCTGAGAGGCACAGGCACAACGAGGAACATTCTTAAAAGCAGTCAGAGTTCACCCTTTACTCGACACACGTTCTCTATTAATTTGTTATATAATTATATTAATCTCTTAATAATTTTAAATAGTAAATAGACTTTAATTTAAACGAAAGAGTATTATTATTCTTTCTCACAGAGCAGCGGCGGGATAGTGTTCACGGTTTTTCGTAGGAGATTGTGATATTCGTTTATAAGTGCCTAATTAACGAAAACATTAGTTTGTACTGTGTCTAAGTGCTGCAAGTTTTTGGATTACGATTAGTTTAGTGATTTGTACTTAGTGTGTGCATTTTGAAAACAATGGGAAAACGCAGGCATAGTCGTCGTAGTCCTAGCACGACGAGTACTTCAAGTAGTGGTTCCGCACGGTCAGATAGTGACAATAACGATGCTGGTCGCTATAGACGTAGAAGCAGGAGGGCGACCCGTCGAGGGCGACATACTCCACAGGTGCAAAGCGTAGATATAGATGTTACGCGAAAATCTAATGCTATGAATACTCCGCAAAGTTGTTCCACGCCGGTTCAGGCTGTAGACGTAGACGTTACGCAAAACAGTAGTTCCGTAGTTTCACCTCAACCTATTTCTACTCAGGTTCAGGCTGCAGTCGTAGACGATACGCAAAGCAGTAGTTCCGCTGTAGAATCAGTTGACAAGGAACGTATTAAAGTCCTTGAAAATATGGTAATGAAACTTTTGGAAAAGGATCGCACGTCACATGTCACTATAAGAGCTGACTGCATACCGGAATTTATCCCAGGTAAGCCCAATACAAGTTGTGCTAAGTGGTTGGGCAAAATAGAACAATTAGCATCGGTCAATCGTTGGAACGAAGGTACACAAATTTATCACATGCAGACCAGGCTGAAAGGTTTAGCACAGACGTGGTATCATAATTTAGATTTTTATGATTACACCTGGGTTGAATGGAAAAATCTTTTAATTAACGCATTTCCTGATCACCAAGATTTTCCATCCACACTTAAGTCGTTAATAGCTAGACACAAGTCCAGTAACGAAAAATGGACAGAATATTATTTCGAGAAAATGCAGTTACTACGCCAATGTGATATAGCGGGAAAGAATGCTGTTGCTATGCTCATCGATGGCATTCACGACCCTGCCATTCAAGCTGGAGCAAAAGCAGGCCGCTACAGCACCCCTGAGGACTTGTATCGAGAGTATTTGTCCGCTTTACCTGACGAAAAAGCGTTCAAACCAGATAAAAGGCCCTCACATTTTTCATTGAAACATGACCTGGTAGACAAAAGGGCACACGAAAAGCCGAAATCTAGGCCAAACAAATGTTATAATTGTAACGACTTTGGACATTTTCAACGCAATTGTCCTAAACCTAGAAAAGAATGTACTTTATGTAAAAGACTTGGACATGTAGTAACCGAATGTTACAAAAACAAACCAAGTACTTCAAAAAAAGTATTTGTTTGCGATACGACCCTGGACAAACGGTCTGATTCTTAATGTTTAGGAGTCATGTGTTACATAAATAACCTGTCACTGGATGGATTTATCGACACAGGATGCGAAATTGTTACCATACGGGAAAACGAAGCGAGAAAACTTGGTTTGAAATGGCAACCATGCGGTATTGTGATTAATGGCTATGGGGGTGGTCGAACTAGGGCCTTAGGCGAAATTACGGTTGAGTTACGAGTCGATTTATTTTCAACTCAAGTGGACGTAATAATTGTGCCCCAACAAATGCAAAATATGTCCGTTTTGATAGGGCAGACTTTCTTAAGAAAAACGGGTGCAACGTTAGTTATGAGGAACGGAGAATTAAGAATTTTTAATTCAGAAATGGCGCTGTTGCCAGAACTCGACAACCTCCCCACATCTGTAAAATTGGTCTGCAAGAAACCAGCAGTGATACCGCCAAATCACATCGGGCTACTCACCTGTAAACCAATGGACGACTACACAGGGGATGTATTTATTGAACGTCGACAGTCCAGTAAGCCAGGTGGCGAATACATCATACCCAGTTGTGTCACCTCAGCAAGTTTGGGAGTATTACCTATCTACAATGCCTCAGAACAACCGATGAGTTTCGACGCAGAACAATTGGTTACGAGAGGAGTTGCGTGTATTCCTGACGTAGGATGCAGCGAGAACGAGGTAAGAATAAATACTTTAAATAAACAAGTGCTATTAAAATTTACTTTAAACGATATTGAAAAACAAGTAAATAATAACATTGGTAAAGATAATGTAAACATTTTGCTTAATACACTTAATACATATCGAGACTGTTTTGCACAAAATATAACCGAATTAGGTTGTATTAAAGGAGTGGAAATGAAAATTAATTTAAAAGACGATAAACCTGTGACGTATAGACCTTATCGCCTTTCCATTCAAGAAAGACAGTGCGTGCGCGAAATTGTTGACGATTTATTAGATAATAGCATAATTCAAGAATCGCATTCGCCATATGCAAGTCCTATAGTGCTCGTTAAAAAGAAAAGCGGGGATATTCGAATGTGCGTCGATTACCGTGCAATTAATTCTAAGTGCTTTAAAGACAATTACCCGATGACTAGAACTGATGACCACTTAGAAATGTTATCTAATCAAAAATATTTTACAACCTTGGACATGGCCAGTGGATATCATCAAATTCCTGTAGCGAAAAGTTCCAGAGACAAAACCGCATTTGTCACCCCAGACGGACAATACGAATACCTGCGCATGCCGTTTGGTTTAGTAAATGCTCCTGCAGTATTTCAAAGAACAGTAAATCGCATTATTAGAAATATAGAAAATGTTACAGCGCTTGCGTACTTGGATGACATTCTCATACCTAGTACTGATTTTGAAACAGGCCTATTAGCTTTAAAGAAAATATTTAATGCATTTCGATCTTATGGTGCAACATTTAAACTAAGTAAATGCCATTTCTTTAAAACAGAGCTAGATTATTTGGGACATGAACTTAGCATTGAAGGAGTACGACCAGGTAAAGAAAAGATTAGAGCCGTAGAAAATTTCCCAGTACCCAAAAATGTACACGAGATCAGACAATTTGTGGGCCTTGCCAGTTATTTTAGAAAATATATCAAAGGGTTTGCCCAAATAGCACGCCCATTGACGATGTTAACCAAAAAGGATATTAATTTTCTTTGGACTGAAGAACAACAAAAAGCTTTCCAGCTTATTAAAGAAAGTTTAATAAGTAGACCTACACTTGCAATTTTTAACCCCCAATTTAAGACTGAACTACATACAGATGCTTCGAGTCGAGGTCTTGGAGGAATTTTACTACAGTGGCAAGAAGACGAAAATTTAAAACCGGTTATGTATTTTAGTAGGCAGACTACACCAGAAGAGCAAAAATACCATTCGTACGAACTTGAAACCCTAGCAGTAGTGTGTTCTCTACAAAAGTTCAGAGTCTACCTGTTGGGTGCCGAATTTAAAGTGGTTACAGATTGTAATGCACTTCGCACAGCTATGTCTAAACGAGACTTAATTCCGCGTATTGCAAGATGGTGGTTAGCCGTCCAAGAGTTTAATTTTACTGTAGAATATCGACCGGGTACGAAAATGAGTCATGTAGATGCCCTTAGCAGGAATCCGGTAGAAGAAAACGCAGTTTTACCTGAAATAATAAGTATTCTTGAAGTAAACATTACGGAAGATGATTGGATTTTATCAGCACAGTTACAGGATGAACAATGCAAATCACTGGTTGAAATTTTATCTAAAAAGCCAATCGATGCAAACCACAAGTACGTACATAAAGAATATGCGATTAAAAACGAACGACTTTATAAGGTCACTGACCGAGGGTTACGATGGTACCCTAGTAGCAATGGAATTGGACAAGATTCTTTGTCAAGATACTTGGAAAATCACTTTGTAAAGAATTGGACAATTCTTGACCAAGACTCTTGATCAAAATTCTTTATCCAGACTGGTGCCAGACTTGCGACAAGTCTGTGACCAGAATTCGACCAGATTCTTGGCCAAGAATTTTGACGTATACGTCAAAATTCTTGCCTATACAGGGTGTCCCGAAATTGGTGGGCCAAACTTAAAAAGTGCATTCTTTATAGAAAAATAACACTTGTTTGTTTAATAAACATGTATCAAAAAATGCCCCCTAACGGAGCTACGGCCCCCTGAATAGGAGCCTAAGAGGATCATTTTTTTAAAACTATTCCTAGAGGTTTGAAGAGGAAGATATAAATTTTTGGTACTTTGGTAATTTTGACAT